GGCGATGCATGCACACACGCACGATGCAGGCTCTAAGGCAACACCTCCACTAGTAAGCTTCTCGGTCTGTGAGGGGATGCCACAAGAACAGCTTGTCAACTCTGAAGCTTGAACCTAGCAGCCTGTGCACCATTGCAGCCAAGGGCCGAGTTGGTGAAGAACTTGAAGAAGAGGGCGGACGGAGACGCCAAGGAGGAACCCGCTCCCAAGGCCAAGTCGAAGGGAAAGACTCCGAAAACCCCTCCTCCCAATACCACAGGCACATCGGGGTCTTCCGCAAACGCGGGCACTTCCGGTGCTAAAAACTCAACCCCCGCCGTTGTGGAACCGCCTCTCAAGAAGAGCAAGGGCGCCAATGCTGCAGAGGCGGCCAGAGCGGAGCTTCTGAAGAAGCTTGCTGGGTGAGCACGGCTGCCAGTTTGGACGGCCATGATTTTGAAGCGTGAAGCGGCTTCTTGCTTTCGTGTCTCCCTGAGGACAGCTTTGCAAGAGTATTCACACTCGTCAAGTAGGTGTTTGGTGCCACGAAAACACAGCTTCGCCGCTTTGACAGAATCTGCGCGTCTCAAGACAAACAACGCCAGACTGTTTTGGATCCCCTGGGTCATCAGCGAATGAGTCTACTTAATAGAGTCCTTCAATGCACACTCAGTAAGAAAGCTTTCTTTTGCTGTTGGCTCCAAGTTCTGGGGGCCCCGCTGTCCTTGGCGTGCTAGCTGCCTTGAAGAAATCGTGCCGGGCAATGCGCCCAGAAAAAAAAGTCCATTCGTGAAGCTCTTGCACGCGCCCGCGTGTAAGCAAGTTCCAGTTGCGATGCGAGTGCAGGTGGAGCTGAGCGTGCACGCAGCTGCAACTGTCCATGCTTGCCGTTGTCCGTGTGCATTTGCTCCAGCTTGCAGCAGGATGCTCTTGACTCAGTGGCGGCGCATGCCATGTTGAATGTGGACTGGGACGATGACGATGATGTTCAGGACGTGATGCCCGCGAAGAAAGCCCGCCGTCGTGGCCCCATGAAGGTTCAGAAGTGCGACAAGGTCCAAAAGCGGCCTGCGTTGCAGAAGACCCCACGACAGCGAATCATGAAGCATGTGCCTACTGCCGAAAGCGTCTTGGGCCACATTGACAAGCACCCATTGCCTGAGGCTGCGGACGAGATACGCCCTTGCGAGGACACCATTTTGGTCGGCTCGGTGTGCTCTGGCTTGTGCGCCGAGCTATGGAGCCTGAATGGTATGGGGCGGCGCTTCCGAGCAACTTTCTGCTGCGAGAGCAATGCTGGCCTGCGCAAGCTTTCCATGAGCATGCACACTCACGACTATGTCTTTTGCGATGTTTTTCTGGAAGACTGGATGGCAGTGAGCTGCGACCTGTTCTTCGCTGGCTTTCCTTGCCAGGGTTTTAGCGAATGCCAGCCAGCGGGAACAGCAGGCTTGACACACATCAGTGGATCGTGCATCTTCCCCATCCTCCGTTACATCAGGCACAGACGACCCCCAATGTTTTGCCTCGAGAATGTCCGCGGCTTGTTGACGCTCTACCCCGAAACCTTTGCCATGCTTTTGGGAGTCCTGGACGGCATGACGGATGAGAGGGGCCGGAAGCTGCTGCTGTACTGCATCTTGCGTGAGTCGTGAGCCGTGAGCAAGAATCTCTAGAGGCGCACCACTACTTGCTACCAATCCAAGGTACTCTGTGAGTTGGAAGGTCTTGGACACATGCAGGGTCACCACCTTGCCCCAGCATCGAGAGCGCTTGTTTGTGACCGGTTGCCTGACCTCGGCTATGCAGCGTCCGATGAGCTGGCCACCAGAGGCCATGGTTTCCATGAACGTGATATGTCCATGAACCGCTGTCTTGACAGGAGTTCTTCCTTTAGCTTTCGAACCTGCCAGGTCAATGCCACCCGTCCGATCCACGACTTCATCCGGCCCCTGCCTGGCGATGACTGCCAACGCCTACCACAAGCTAGGGGTCAGCAGACACAGCTGAGGAAAGCACATGCGCGGATTCGAGCGATGGGAGGTGATCCATCAACGGAGCACTGGTTCGCTGACATTTTCAGCAGCCTAAAGCGTGCTCCGAACGTCATGAAAGGACGAGTTCCCTGCCTCTTGCGCTCAAGACCAGCGGGTGCGTGGTTGACCTGGCTGGGACGCACTATGACACTGGATGAACTGTTCAAGCTCATGGGCGTGGATCCTGCGTCCGTTCCGCGCGACATTTTGTCCGCGCGCGCACTGGGGCAAGCTGCCGGGAATTCTGTTCCAGTAGATCTGCTCCGTTTAGTGCTGGCGGGGATTTTGGAAGCCAACGGCAAGTGACCGTTCCGTGACAGCGTGGCTTTGTGCGAGCTTTCGTAATTAAGAGCTTCGGGCAAGTGGCAATTCATCCACACATGCACTGTAATGTAGGTTAGTATAAACTGAAGTTGGTGCGGTCAAGCTGTGAAGAGCTGGAGACGGCTTTCATTCAGAAAGTGCAGGTGCACACGCGCGCACTTGATCTGTCTCTCGTCTCTCTGTCTCTCTCGCAAACTCTTTCTTTCTTTCTCTCTCTCTCTCTCTCTGTCTCTCTCTCTCTCTCTCTCTCTCTCTCTCTCTCCCTCTCCCTCCCTCCCTCTCTCTCGTTTTGCCTCTCTCTGAGGTCTGTCCGGTGTCTGTGTGTGGTGCTGCTGTGTAAATACATGGGTCGCATTCTTTCCTCAGTCATTCGTTCTCGGTCCCAGTGAAACTGCCAGCATGACTCCGTCATGTGACAGGTTGTGCGCAAGCTAGCCTAGCCTTGTTCAGCTAGAAATCCGTAACGTACTTCGTGCCACAGGGGCAAAACTTCCAATCCAGAAATTTTTGAAACTTTCCGCAGGCGGTGCAGCAAACCAGCCCCTCCGTGGAGGGACCTTCTGCGGCCGCAGGCGTGGGATTCTGGGAAGCCACACCTGCAACCACCGGTGAGAATGCCTTCTGCACAGCTTCTCGTTGTAGATCTCGACGAGGACACACATAAACCTTTTCTATGATTCTCGGCGATGTTGCCGTGATTTGCCCAATCACTGTGGCCGTAGCACACTCGCTGAGGAGAGTGGCACATGATTTCTTACCGCTGTGCGACGTCACACGCTGCAGGTTCACGTCCTGGAACGGATGGAGCTGTCCTTGTCTGCGAGCGCAGGCAAGTTCTCTTGCTATTGCCTGCTGCGCGTCCACCAGAACGTAGTGATAAGCCCGAGTTGTAACTGCTTTCGCGAAGTTACGACGAGAATTACCGCCAACCTTCTTGCCAGGAAACAGGTACTGCCACTCGAAGGCTGACACGTCTGAGCCTTGGATCAGCGCATGGGTTTGCTCACCTATCTCGAGTTGAAGGGGCAAGTGGCTTTCAGGGTAGCTTAGATGGCGGCTGCATGTCCAGCTTAGCACTCATACCTGAAACTCTGTGCTAGTAGCTTTTGCTGACTCGTCTCCGCTTGGTTGATAGATTGATTGTCTGGCCACGGAATGGCCACTGTTGGTTGTCGGCCCCTTGTAATGGCTCCTCGAGTATCCACCTCCGGAGCAGCGCAGCAAAGTCCAGGTGAAGTGGAACTTCATGAGCCGTCGTCTTCTTGTTGACGCGGGGCACTTGCAGGCTGGGTCTTTGATCACTTTCCGTGATTCGTAGCCAGGAGGCACAGGCAACCGATGTAGCTTCTGCTCTCTCCCCACACATGATGCTTAACAAAAAAAGCACAGCAGCCCATGGGCGTTGCCAGGCCAAGATTCTGAACAGGTGGACGATCTGCTGCGCATCTAGCGCCTCGCGACCTCCCCGTCGTTGTTTGTCCTTGAGTAAGCATTTTTGACGATGTTCCGGGCAGCAGAACCGCACCAGCTGCGCTGTGGCATGCAGCTTCCGTGTCTTAGACGAGTCCACTGCTGCATAACTCGCTGTGATGCCTTTGTTCTTGCAGCAAACATTCGTCCGTGTACATCCTGTGAAGGCACAGATGATTTTAACCCGGCTTCCGGTTCCACGCTTCGGACCTCGTGCAGGCTGGACTCCTACTCTGCGTCGCTTGACCATGGCTGTGCAAGTCGATCCGGTTACTTGAGCTTTGCGGCAAGTAGGGACGTGTGAAGAATTGGATCCATTGTCTCATTGCAGGCTAGTCAACCAGACCTCACAAGACCATTGCCGTGCATAGCATGAAGACATCTGGTTCATGCTTGCATGAAGCACTTGCACGAGGGCACTTCCGAAACCAGCCCGGTCTAGGAAACCGCACTTCCGAAGTCTGGTTTTCAAGGCCCTCACTCACTGCAGGAGCAGGCCTGCCCGCCTGCGGGCGAGCACCGTGGCAAGCAACTGCCTGCCATGCCGCTGGGGGGGGGGAGGGGTTCCGGTCTCGCTGGACATCTTATGTAGATCAGCAAGGTTGTGTCGGGTTTAGGGCTCCGTCAGAAAATGTTTTGAGAGGGCACTGAAATGCAGCACAACAACATCTGGTGCGGAGGTTGTTGTCACACCTGACACTTCGACATTGATTGTCCACAAGGACAGCGCCTCTACAGCCAAGTCTATTCTCAGTCGGCAATTGCAATCATGTCACCTTACTTGACTGATGCGTATTCGAAGTCCACTTGCGAGGACACTGCCTGAAGATGGCTCAGCACGCATCTCTGGTTCCGGTGTTTCGCAAGCTTCAGCGCGGTTGAACTATCAGGTAATTTGATTTAAGGACCCGGAGTTATAGAGCGGGTCTCCTGATCTGAGGTGCCATGGATGCCTCACCCTAGCTGCAGGAACCCCGGAACACATTCCTGGGTCGACTGTGTTTGAGGCCTGCGCCACAGGCCTGGAGACATCCTCTGCGCAGGAACCTCGGCAGGGCAAGTTTTGATTCTGCCACTGCCACTGCCAGTGTGTTGCAAAACCGTGCTCTTTTAGGGCTCCCAGAACCCCTGCTACGAAGACGTCTGGGCTTCAGTTGCTGGAGCCTAGCTAGCTGGCTTTGCTTTGCGAGCATGGCGTGGCAGCAGGGTTCGAGCGGCTCTGGCGGCTACTATGCTGGGTGGTCCGGCGGCGGTGGATCCGGGGCCTCAGGTTCAGGTGGCAACGGCGAGGAGGAGCGTCGTCGCAAGGAGAAGAAGCGCAAGGAGGAGCTCCCGTCAGGACAGGATAGAGAGGCCATGCGAAAGAAGTGGATAGCGGAGGTCCAGAAGGAGCGCTTCCGAGGCGACAAGTTGGAGGCCCGGACGAGGGACAGCTGTAGAATCTGTAGAAGAAGGACAGTTAGAAGGACAGTTACAGACGCAACAAGAGGAGACAGAGAGACGGGGAGAGAAATAAAAAGCAGGCCAACTCTGTCAAGTTCTTCGTCTTCCGCCCATGAATGCGAGAGCCAGAGCGAGATCTAGAGCGAGAGCGAGAGCTAGAGCGAGAGAGAGGGAAAGAGCGAGAAAGAGAGATAGAGAGAAAGAGAGACAGACAGCGACGAGTGCAGCGACTAACTTCCATTTGGTGAGGCAGAGGTCGGCGTGCTCAAGCAGCACTTGCAGGAGGCCATCGCTGGCCAGAGCCATGCCCAGGCCTGTCATCCGTTGTTTTGTGCGCAGCACTCCCAATCGGAATCCACGTTTGGCTGGTATATTGCAGGATGTCGCGAAAACCGAGCTGGCTGCCTGCGAGAAGTACGAGGCCCTGGCTGCCTCCATGAAGAAGAGCAAGGACGAGATGTCCACGCAGCTGGACGTGGCCACCGGAGCAGGGGCGATCTTGAGGGTGGAGAAGGACACCGGGAACTGGTGTTGCATCAGCGCGCGGTCTCAGCCCCTCCCAACGCCACAGGACCAGCTGCAGAAGGAAGTGTCCGGGTTGCAATCTGCTCGAGAGAAGGACCAGGCCTTTCCGTGTGTTCCCGGAGTCTGACTTCTTGCCTTCCTTGGTTTCCTAGATTTCTGGAAGGCCGTTCATCGTCAGTACTTCACGCAGGAGCAGAACAAGGTGAAGGAGTCTAGCTTGCTTTGAAGACTAGCCTGCAGCAGTTGGTGACATGGTCGGAATGTGCAGGAGCTGAAAATCCAGCTGATGGCCATGGAGAAGGAGCTCACAGATCTGAGCCAGGCGAAGAGCTTCGCGGGCGACATGATGCTGACGTCGCAGAAAGAGCTCGCAGTGTCGGAGTTCAAGGAGGCCGGCCCTTCTCTTTTTCTGGTCTGGCTTGCACGTCAAACCTTGTTCGCTTGCAGGAGGAGACGCAGAAGGAGCTCCAGAAGTACAAGAGCTTGGTGACGGCCATGGAGATGGGGTTGAACGACAGCAATCAGCAGCAGGCCGACGAGCATCACAGATGTAGCATTTTCCTTGCATTGCTCTGCGAGGATATCTTAAAGAGCCGCCTCAAAGCAGAGGAGGTCAGGTGTTTAGCCCGCCATCACATAGGCGTTGCTTTTCGCTTTCACTATGCTTTCAGGAGCAGCATGCGCTCTCGCTGAAGCAGATGGAGGCACGGAGGGAAGTGACTGCCAGACCATCATCATGATCACATGAGATGAAGTCAACTTCAGCTGACACTGACACAGACCAAGACAGGATCAAGGAAGAAGCTTCGGAGATGCAGCTAGACGAGATGATGCAAACTTCTCATGACACATGCCAGGACTCGGCGAAGCAGGAGCTCCAGGAGATGCACAGCCGGCTAGAGAAGCACCAGGCATGATGGTGAAAAGCAGTAAACTGGGTCTTGCTGTCATCTTTGTGTGGCCTGGGTCAGGCAGAGCAGTCTGAGATGGAGGCAGAAATGACAAGGCTGGAGGACGCAGGGCCACAATTTGTCATTCAGAGCGCTTGCTCGTTACAGCTGCATCGTCAGCTTATCGTAATCCACCGTATGGCGAACGAGGCGACTAGCATGCCCACCATGCTTCATTGACTGCAGAAAAAAATGACCCTTTTGGCAGGACGAGTCTTTGTCACTCTGGATGAAGCTCCAGGCATCCGAAGAGAGAGCGGCGAGCTGCACTGAGGACACCCTATAATATCATAGCTTCCCCGACTTGGACTCGAATGATTACTGCTTGCACTAGCTGGAACAGGACCCGGAGCCACGTGTGCCACCAGAGGCTGTTGCAAGAAGCCCCAGTGAAGAGATCTCGACTGAGGTCGCGACTCCGACTCCAGTAGGACCCGGATCGCCCAGAGGGTCACCCACTAGTCCAGCAGGCTCTTCCTGCAGTTGAGTATCTTTGAGACAGTCAAGCACCTAGCCCCGATATTATAGAACTCAGGTAGATAACAACAGCAGATTGATGATGAACAGCCTGCTGGCAAATGCGCATATCGAGATTCCGCATGAGAAGCTTCCGTTGCACTCGGCAAACCAGAAAAAAAACAGGTCACAAGGGCATGCTGCTACGACTGCTACATGCGACAGTGGTTTCAACAATCACAAGTGCTGCGCCAGAAGCAACTGAAATTCGAGAAGCCGCCCAAGCATGCTATCCGGTGTGCTCAGGTCGCAACGTCTGGGTCGCAGTCAAGTCTGTTTGGGCCTCAAGCCCAGGGTATGCGAAGTCTTGTGCTGCATTGAATTGGTGCTCTCCAAGTCTTCAAGACTGGGACCGTCACTCACCAGCTGCACTGCGACAGAACCCGGCTTGATCGGCCTCAGGATTCGCAATCATTCGCATGACTCCGCATGACTGAACGCCGGCACCTGAGTCTGGACCTTTGCGCTATCGCAGCGCAGACACTTGGGATGATGTTGGAGGAGGTCGCGCTGTCGCAGCGCCACCCTCCCCCTTTTTGTGTTTCTGCGCGCTATCGCAGCGCATCCGGTCATGGGATGAGACGCACTATCGCAGTGCGACCCTCTCTTGAAGTTCGGGAGGGCGCGCCGTCGCAGTGCACCCCCCTGTATTCTTTTTAGTTTCTAATGCGTGGATGCTAGTCACGAAGATGACCCTTAAACCCAAAAGGACACCTGTCTAAACCTGGCTCCTGCCCTCCTTCCTTTCACTTCACCTTCCTGCAGACTCTCCCGTCTTTCTCCTGATGCTGCTGATGCTTGCGACTTTCTGAGTGGGGTAGGGAAGGGAGGGGATGGGCCGGGAAGGAAAGGATAGTGGGGGAAGAAGGGAGAGGAGAGAGGGGTAGAGAGAGGAAGAGGGACGGAGGGGAAGGGGGAGGGGGGGCGTGTGAGGTGTGGACAAGCACGTGCGGTGAAAGGGAGGGGGCGGGGGACCCTCCTGTCCGGACAACGCCCGGAGCCCAGCTGATGCTCGTGGGTGCGGGGGGGCCACATTGTCTGGACAACGCCAGGCCCAGCCGATGCTCATGATGCTGGCTGGGTGGGGGCCGCATTGTCCGGACAACAGCTGATGCTCATGATGCTCGCCCGGGGCCCAGCTGATGCTCATGATGCTGGCCTGGGTGTGGGGGCCCGGGGCCCATGATGCTGGCCTGGGTGTGGGGGCCGCATTGTCCCATCTGATGCTCATGATGCTGGTTTCGGTGTGGGGGCCGCATTGTCCGGACAAACCCCGGGCTCCAGCTGATGCTCATGACTCATGATATTGGTTTCGGTGTGGGGGCCGCATTGTCCGGACAAGGCCCGGCGGCCGGGGTCCAGCTGATGCTCATGATGTTGGTTTCGGTGTGGCGGCCGCATTGTCCGGACAAGTTGGTTTCGGTGTGGGGGCCGCGTTGTCCGGACAACGCCCGGGGTCCAGCTGATGCTCACGATGTTGCTTTCGGTGTGGGGGCCGCATTGTCCGGACAACGCCCGGGGTCCAGCTGATGCTCACGATGCTGTGTCCGGGCGCACGCGGCTGTCCGGACAGGCTTGCTGCACCGGAGGGGTGTCGGACAGCTGTCTGGACAGCCCGTCTTGCTGCAACCCACCCAACTTTTGAAACCGGTGTCTGAACAATTGAGGAATTATACTGTTTCCAAGGATAAGCAGATAATTTTTGAACTTCGCCCAACTTGAAAGCATTTCTTTGCTCCAATCCTTTCCGTCCCTCTCAGCTCTCAGCCCCCCCCTCCCCTCCTCCTTCCACTCCCATCCTTCCCTCCTCCTCCTCCTCCTCCTCCTCACCGTGTCGTAAGGGGCAGGTGGGGTACACGAAGAAAAAAAACGATTTCTACACACGTGCATACCTCTTCTACTTAAACTGGAGGAGATTAGATTGGATGATATTTTGTGTGTATATATATATATATGTAATGTGTTTGTGCTCTTCTTCATGCAGCTGTGTGCTACTGGGTGGGTGTGTGTGGCTGGGTCTTTGAGGTAACTCGGGCAGGATGGGGGTGGGGTGGGAGTGGGTGAGCGGGTGAGTGGGTGAATGGCCGACTGAGAGGGATGGGTGAATGGTAGGATGGTGGATTTGTGGGTGGATGCATGGACGCATGGATGCATATGTATATGTATAAGTATATGTATAAGTATATGTATATGTATATGTATATGTATATATATATATATATATATATATATACATATACATATATATGTATATATGTGCTATCACCAACCTCTACTAATGCCTAGTCAGCCTGGCAGGCTTTCCTGGGTGGGGCGCGTTATCGCAACGCAGTCTCCACCCATTTGCTAACACTAACCTCTACGGGGCGCGTTATCGCAACGCAGTCCCCACCCTTTCATTTTTTTTAGCGTGCGCTATCGCAGCGCATCGCTGGCAGTGAAGTTCGCGATGACGGCGTCCCCGTGCTTGCCTGCAGGGCCCTGAAAGATGCGAGGTTAAGGTTCAGGGCTACTCTGAATGTAAGGTTTAGGGTTGTGGGTTCAAGGGCCATAAGGACGCGAGGTTGCTGGGGTCTAGGGTGTGCAAGGTTTAGAGTTTAGGGTTTGTTCACGTATAGTGTTTAGGGTCAAGGAGCCTTCAGGTCCAAGATTTTACATTTGGGGGGGGTTCAGGGATCCCGAAATCGCAATGCCGACAACTAAACTTTAAAACCCAAGCCTCAACTCCAAACGCTCGAAATCCCTGCAACAAACAGATCCAAGAGATGATTACAGCCCTTCTTAGACCCTACAAAACCAACTCTCTAGGACCCTTCAGACAAATTCATGTGATATCACAGTATGATATGATATAACATGATATAATACGATGCAACATATGTATCCTCTACGACGGATGCATGCATGCACGTATGCACACCCGTGAATCCCAAAAGTCAGAGTTATAACTTATACTGCTAGAGGCTTCGTGCTCTTGCTGACATGCATCATGTGTGAGCAAAGATGCAGACGCAGCTCGAGAACGCAGGTTGCATTGTGTCACAGCTTTGTTTCTCGGAACAGTCTCTCGGATGGAAGCAGTCTAAGTTCACAGATGTCATAAGTTTTCGCAAAAAAAGACAAAACCTCCGAGACTCCGATTCTAGAATAATAGTCACAGGCGCAGAGACAAAAACATTCCAGTGGATTTCGAGAAAAAAAAAGAGTGCTCACAGATTTCTCGCAAAACATCAAATCGAAAATACTGTCTTTGTCACTGTTTAAAACCCATCCGGTACACATCTCCATGTGTCGAAACAAATTAGATGTATTTCTTTTTCCGAGTGTTTGCTAGCAATCCCTACCACAACAATGCACGGGGGAACGCTTCATTCTTTCATTCCCGGCTAACCAAAGGCAAGTATTGGGGACTCGTACTCTTGGGGAGGGGGGGGGGTCTCTTTCGGAATGGTTGTTGTAGTATTTTGTCGGGTGAGGAAGAAGGAGCAGGAGAAGGAGTAGTAATAGTAGTAGTAGTAGTAGTACTACTACTTGTTCTTGCCATGTTGAGTTCTTGGCCGCCTTTGTCTTTTTTTGTTGAGCTGCGAACGAGCTGCGGCAGACGCTGCATCTCAGCCTCCATTTTCAAATTTGCAGATAAATCACTAGTGGTTAGAGTAGTAGTAGTTTGAGCGAACAACAATCTCCCGCCTTCGTTGTTGTTCCCTCCCTCTTGAAAGAACAACAACCCCGCCTCCGCTTGTTGTTCCCCGCATTCTTGAGAAAACAACACCCCCCCCGGGTTGTCGTTCTTACCCTTCCCTTCCCCTTTTGCAAACCTGCCAAATGATTCCTGCTCAGTTGTGTTTCCTTGCTTTTCAACCCCTGAAGTGTTTGCATGTGGCTCTTTCCTTCTTGTGTTGGCGAACGCTTTTTTTTCCTGGCGGCTCGAAACAAGGGGGGGTTGAGCCTAAGACAAGCGGGGGGGTTGGGGGGGCGCAGCCCCCCCCATTTGCAAGCCTTCCATCGTCATGATAAATGTACTTGCTTGCTTTCGCCCCCCAAATGCGTTTGCATGTGGCTCTGTCCTTCTTGTGTTTTGGCGAACACGCTCCTACAACCCTGTTGTTGTCCTTCTTCGAACTTGACCCCCTCCTCCATATTGGAATATAACCCCCCCCTCCATACTGCTGGACTATGAATCTTCCCCCTCCATACTCATGGAGTACCCCTTAAATGATCCTGGACTACGAACCTCCCCCCCCCCCCCCCCCAAATACTCCTGGAAATATGAACCCCCCCCCCCCTCATATTTTTTCCCCCCCCAGTCGGACGTATGGGGGGGGGGGGGTCAATACTCCGGAAGAACTAACCCCCCCCACCCATGTCCTAGCGGCGCGGTCTCATGTAGTTATTATGTTTGTAATACGTTTGTTAATCCTTTTGTCTTGCTGTTCTGTTGTCCGTGAGTGATGCCGTGGAGACCGGACATCTCGGTAGGAAGTACACAAGGTTTCGGTATTTTCATTTTCACCACATTACAAGAAGCCTTCTGAGCAGGCATTAAGGGATCACGTTCTCAAACTTCTACCCTACATCCAGTAAAACCCTACTCCTCTCGGAATTAAGCCATCTGCAACTTATGTTTACTAGGTGCTGCATGGGAGCTAAAGTTCCGTTCTTTGTTCTAGTAGAATATGAAGTTTTAAGCCCTCAAGATTATTGGCGATGGTACTTTTGTTTTGGGTTTCAACTGCACACTGACGGATTTAGAGTCGAGTGTTTCAGGCCTGCTCCCGGTGCGCACAGCGTCGACGGGATTCCGAGGCCTTGCGTGGAACTAGCACCTGCGATGAAACCCTAAACCCTGCCCCTTGTTTGGAAGTGCGCATTGCTTTGCAACACTTTCCACGATATAAGGTCAAGAATCCTAAGCCCTCATGACAGTCTTATCTCTATATATATATATATATATGATTATGTCAAAAGCCCATTCTAGTTTCCAAGACCTGCATTTGATATAGATATTTAAGGCCCCTGTAGAGTCTCCTCAGGACCAGGCTGCGGCCTCTCAGACAGCGGCGCAGAAGATGCGCGAGGCTGTTTTGGGTTTGTATTCGGGGTTCTTAGGGTTTAGGGTTTATAGGGTTTAGGGATTTTGGCGTGCTTTCTGGGTGCTTGCTACAGGCATTCTATTGAATGTATAAGTTACCATAATATGGTTTCTACGGGTTCCGTGAAGGGACCTATAAGGGTTCCTTGAGGGGTCTAGGGATTTAAGGTTTAAGTTATCAAAATACAGACCATTTTAATTGCTATAAAGCCCGGCTATGGTAGCTCGAACTCAATTCCTTAACAACCCAGGTTTCGGGTTGCGTAAGACGACACGTCGCCCATAGCTCATTCAGGCCTTTAGGGCATACCGTTCCATAAGGTAGCCCTGACACCGATTCCTGTAAAAGGGTTCCTTTAGGGGTCTATAGGGGTTTGAGGTTTAAGTTACCAAAATAAAGACCACACTAAACTTGTCCCGAAAGCTACCCTATGTCTGAAGCATTCACACCAAGCAGGAGAGAATAGACATGTCTCTGATGATCATGGCTTGCTTTAAGGATGATCTTATCGTTGCTGTCGGGGTTCTTGCGGGGGGGGTCTGTAAGGGTTTTCTTTGAGGGTCTTCAGGTTTTAGGGGGTCCAGCACTCTGTCCTGCTTGTGATGTAGGACCATTTGAAATCATTGCCGGAACTTGCTGTCCCAGAGCTTGGGTCCAGAGTCTTGCGATGCTTTCCAATGGCAAGAGCCTCTGGTGCAGGTTTTGGGGTGTGTTTCCAGGGTTTTAGGATTGCAGACCTTAGTCCATGTCGAGGTTCACTTAGGCGTACTTAGAAGTATTTTTCTTTTTTGTTATTATAATCCCCAAGAGACCGCTAAGATTATAATTTTGCTAGGGTTCTAAGTTCAGTATAAATTTCAGTTGGGGCAGCAGTGTTGGGGCTTCGCGTGGTTTGGGTGGGTGCTAGCCCAGTGTTGTTTGGACACTGACGACATGACAGAAGCCTAAAGCTCTGCAACCAATCCCCACTAGATTCGTTTCAAGGGAGTGGGTTGTTACCCTAAGGGTCCATGTGCTCATATAGTATACATTGGCCTTAATGTAGTCCCTATATAGGTACTTTGGGGCTCATGTATCCCTATATGGGTAGATGGACCCTTAGGGTTAATTAGGGGTCTTCACATGGGCAGGTTTAGGCATTGAGGACGGTTTGGTTTTGTGCTGGCCGGTTTAAGGCTTCGCAGCGAGGGGTTTGGTGTAGAGCGACTAGGGCTTTTTAATGTCCGCAGTACAGTGCGCCGAACCAGGAACACTTAACCGTAATTCCCGAAACAACCCCGACCCCTGTACGGCTCCTTATGTATCGGTGCAACATGTCAGAGGGAAAGTTCAGGGTTTATGAAGATTTGAGACTGGCCCGTTTTCAACATAAACCCTGAACTCTACGAACCCCTAAATCCCAAAACCCCTAAACCCTTGACGCTTGCCATTTTGGCTCAAGCCGCTGTTTCCTTGCAAAGCTCTCAGTGCGGATCGGAAGCTGCCCCGAAGATCACGATGACTCTCCTCCGGATCTTGATTGCCCTGGGAGTCGTTGTGGCTTCTGAGCCATTTCGGAGCTGGATACCAGCAACGTCCCCGGCCGGCAACTTACCGTGGTGAGGGTGAAAACCTGCCCTACGGCCAGGCTGGGGGGCGATCTTCCGATCCCCTTCATCGGCACGATATCTGGAGCCCTGCCAGAGCCAGATGCCGTGCGTCCGAGGTTCCAGGGGATGGAGCGCGGCATGCGCTGGGTCTATGGTACCCGGCAATGGCGGCTCGTCGAATCGATGCGCTCATCGTGGGCATCCTTACCATCGGCCTGGCCGTCGTGGTGGCAACCGTGCCAGTCAGCCTGGCCTGGCTGGTGTCCTTGTTGAGAAGCTCAAAGGGGCCACATGTGCCATTCATGGGATCCTCGAAAGGGTCAAAAGAAGAAGCCGACCGTCTCTTAACCGTAGAAGCGGGAGCAGAAGGACGAGAAGGAGGAGGAGGAGGAGGAGGAGGAGTTCGCGATGCAGCTGGGCCCCGTCAAGACTGCCGTGTTTGGAGTTTACTATGTCTGCAGCATCATCTTCTTGCTGGTGCTGACCTCCTGGTCCAAAGCGGAGAATTTGATGCTGGGCGGCGCGGGGCTGGCGTGGGAAGTCATTTGGATCTGGTTGGTGGTCGTCCTTGCCACGGATGTGCTGGGCTACTTCTTCCGCGCGGTGCAGGCGGTGATCATGAAGCGCCAGATCCACCTTACAGACCCGGCCATCTCAATCGTCATGAGCGTGCTGCCCATTCTTGGGCCAAGGGTCGATCTGTTGAAGGATTGTCTGTTTGCTGGCGCCGTGTTTCAGCTCGCGGTCTGCCAACCTGACGACTCGTGGAGGCGCACGGCAGGCTTTCGGGTTGGGGACGTGGATGGCATGCTTGAGGCGGTCAAGGACAAGTTCGACAAGATCCTGAAGGAAGTCCAGCTGAGCATCGTGGAGGCAAGCAAGATCTCCAGCCAAAGCCTTGCCCCGTTGAAAAGGGGGCAAGAAACTATGAACACCACCCTTGGTGAGAAGACGACGGAGATCCTCAAGGAGATCAGCAATGTCTTTCACCGGGTCAAGAAGGAGGGCGGCGACCTCATGGCCATGGTCAAGTGGCGGGGCTGTAAAACCGAGCAGGTGGAGAAGGATTGCGCGCACCAGCCGGACCGATTACAGATCCTTCGGGACACGCTGATGGAGATCCAGATGACGGTGGTGCGCATCCAGTCCGAGGTGGAGTCAGAACACGGGGACGGAGACAACCAGCAACGAGCTGCCTCACCGGAGCAGCGAGAGTGGGCGAACAGCCCCACCGCGCCCCCGCAGCAGCCCATCAACTTGGAGGAGACGGTACCGCATGTACAGCTGATGCGATCGGGCGCATCGCCCTTGACAAGCATCACTTTGACGGATGGGCGCGTGGTTTACGTGCCTCGAAGCGTCGTCGCGAACCTGTTTGGAGCGCACTTTTAGCATCTTGAGCTCAGCTTTCTGGGTGGGGGTCGTGCTTTATTTAGGGTTCTCACCTAGTTGCTTGGTTTGTTTTTAGTTCTATGGCCCTTTTGTTTTAGGCTCACACCCCGCTTCTGAGCAAAGTCCTTATGAATAGAGTCTTGAGTTGCACACAGGTTTTTGCATGATGAATTTAAAGCACGTGCATGTCCATGGCATGTTTTGCATGAAACTTCCGTTGCATGTCAGTGTAAATGTGTGTACATGAACTCATTTTTGCAAGCCTGTGTGATGCGAGACTCGTGACTCTGCCGGTGAGACATAGCAAACAGCTAGCTCAGTGTGCGAGTGGACTGTGATGCAGTAGGAGATGTCATGTGCTCCAGCAACACACACTTCAACATATGAGGCTCTGCCTTCTCGCTCTGACAGGTTAACTTTGGGGGTATACGGCCCCGCTTGCCCGCCGACCCTGACAACTTGCGGGGGAACAATCGTGCCGTGTCGTCGTACTCCTTGTCTGTCTGGTCTCCTGAGCTTCGTAAGCTGTTCACGATTGCCCGCCCCCCTTAGGAACCACTAACCTGCGCTGTGATTGCCATGGCCCGCTGTGACGGAAAGAACCCTGTCACAGACTGCTTGACGAGAGGTTGAGGGTTCTTCAGCATGAACGACACGAATATGAATTTTGCTGATGCTTGACGTTGCCGAGTAGGTGCCTCCTGGGCTTTGCCATGGACGAAGAATCTGCCTGGTGACATGTATAGGGACTGACTTGGGGATCGAAGTTTTTGGGAACTGCGAAGCTTGCGTGTATATTCGAGCTGCCGTAGCTTGGGACGCCAAGACCTGACGGACCGAGCGACGAGGCGAGAGCGCCCGAATCAGTGTTCACGAACTCGCCGACTTGGGTCACAAGCTTTTGTCACTGTCGGGGAGAGGCTACTGTACGCGGCTTGGGAATTCTGGAGCATGTCTGAGAATTTGAGAGGTTTTGCTGCACGAAATCAGATACAAATGTCTAACCCTGGTGCAGAACTGGGTATCGAGGACTGATCGAGCCACGGGTTTTATATATGAATGCATGGAGCAGGAATGCATGGAGCAGGTGGAGTTCAGAATTGCATGCCACAGAATTCTGGTGATGGAATACATAGAGTGCATATGAGGAGTGGAGTTCGCAACTGCATGCCACTGAATTCTGGTGATGGAATACATTGAGTGCATGAGTGGGGTCAAGTTTTTGCATGAGACGCGGAATTCTGCCGGACTGCATGCAACAGAGGATGAGGAGAGAGGGAGGTTTTTGCATGTGTTTTGCTGGTCTTGCTGCCACGGATGAGGAAGTCTGCAGAGGAAGATGCGGGATAGCCACAGTGCATGAGAAGTGGAGTGAGCGCAGGCTGTAAGGTTGTGTGCAGTCAAGAGATTGTCATGTGATGTTTTGTTAGTGTCTCTCACCCACCCTGGGAATCGCTAGGATGACTCCGTAGTACAATGTTGCTTGGAGTGGCCAATGTGCTGGACAGATGCGTACTTGGATCCTCGCTTGCTTGTCTAGTTGTAAGTGCTGAAACCCTTGACGCTTCGGGCTTCGAGACTCCTGAAGGCCTTTGCGAGGTGTTGCCGTCGACGAGCCGCAGAGGACACCGGCCCCGGGGGGGGGTGGGTTGAAGGCTTTGTGACTTATAGGGGTGTTCCATAGGTCTTGCGTAAACCCGAAACACCCAAACCCTAAACCCCTCAACCCCTAAACCCTAGGGGCTTGGGGCTTTCTGAAGTCGAACAGGGATTATGCCAGCAATGCTGGGGTCACAACTTCTTTTTGACAGTTTGTGTGCGGCCCCGCCTCACTAATAGTGGGCAGAAACAGAAGCACAAGATGAAGCACCAGGGAAATGCTGAAATGTTGACTCGTTTGTGATCATGCTCGCATGAATGGAAAACGCAAGACTGAGACAACAAGTAAACTGCCACCCCATGAGTTGCAAACACAGTCACACCCCTGTTGTTTTCTCGGATTCGATCTTGAGCAACCATCAGGAGCTGCAATGCCTCTGCGCGACTAGGGGGGGCGGGGCGGGGGGGGCTGGGGGTGCTGGGGGGGGCTGAGGGGGCTGGGCTGGAAAGCTGAACGGACGGGGGGGTGGGGGGGGGGCTGAGGCCGGGCCGGGGTCTGGCCTCTTCGACCAAGTTTAGTACTGAGAGGCGTACCCGGGCGCGACATTTCGATCACAGAAACCTCTGTTCTGTTGTGCTTTTCTGGTGCTCGAAACGATCCGATTGTGTTTTTTTTTGTGCTTTTCTTGTGCTCGAAACGCTCCGGCTGTTGTGCTTTTCTTGTGCTCGAAACGCTCCGATTGTGTTTTTTTTTTTGTGCTTTTCTTGTGCTCCAAAAACCAAACGTGTTTGTATGTTTGTGCTTTTCTTGTGCTCGAAACGCTCCGGCTGTTGTGCTTTTCTTGTGCTCTGTCTGTACTCTTTCTGCAATCTAGGCAGGCCTCCGGGCTCGTTTCCGCAAACGTGTTTGCATGTTTGTGTTTTTTTTTTTGTGCTTTTCTTGTGCTCGAAACGCTCCGATTGTGTTTTTTTTGTGCTTTTCTTGTGCTCCAAAAACCAAACGTGTTTGTATGTTTGTGCTTTTTTTTTGTGCTTTTCTTGTGCTCGAAACGCTCCGGCTGTTGTGCTTTTCTTGTGCTCGAAACGCTCCGATTGTGCTTTTTTTTGTGCTTTTCTTGTGCTCCAAAAACCAAACGTGTTTGTATGTTTGTGCTTTTTTTTTGTGCTTTTCTTGTGCTCGAAACGCTCCGGCTGTTGTGCTTTTCTTGTGCTCGAAACGATCCGATTGTGTTTTTTTTTGTGCTTTTCTTGTGCTCCAAAAACCAAACGTGTTTGTATGTTTGTGCTTTTTTTTTGTGCTTTTCTTGTGCTCGAAACGCTCCGGCTGTTGTGCTTTTCTTGTGCTCGAAACGATCCGATTGTGTTTTTTTTTGTGCTTTTCTTGTGCTCCAAAAACCAAACGTGTTTGTATGTTTGTGCTTTTTTTGTGCTCCATGATTTCAAAACACATTGGCGCGCGGCAGTTCTGGTGCAAAATTGTCTCTGTCTGTTGTGCTTTTCTTGTGCTCGACGCGGTCCGATTGTGTTTTTTTTGTGCTTTTCTGGTGCTAGTTTTGCTCTGTCTCTGTGGCGGCCGGGCCAGTCCAGTCCCCGCGTCCAGGCCGTCTGAAAGAAGGTCTCCGGGCCCAGGTTGCGATGGTAACGAAACCGTGGTTCCAAACCTCTTCGCTGGTAAGTTGCAGATAGCTCCTCCCAACCTCTTCGCCGGTCCGACCCCATCTCACAGCCCTAATCGCCAAACTATGCCAAACATATTTGGATTCAAAACACTGCCTGGCCCTGGAAAACCGAATGAGATCAGATTTCCTTGTGCTACTTTTGGCCTGTCTGTTTGATAATAAACCTAGTGTTGAACTATTAGTGGGCCGGGGCCCCATCTAAACCACATGAAAGAGAAACCCACGTCTCTGGTTTAAGGTCTATCGAGTTCCTCTAAGGGTACTGTAAAGATGTGTCAATGGTTGTAGATTTACAAAAAGCTTCAAAAATTGTAAGTTCCATTCCTGACGCGTTCCTCTGTGTAGCTGTATCATCATATAATAGTGTGCCCCAGAACGCTATTCCAACGGTTCAGGCTCCTGCATGAGGCCTTGTTGGGCATGATAAGCATGATACAGGCCGTTGCAAGGCACAAGTAAATTCACGACACTTTGGTTTCTGGTACCCTAAACCTTACACCTGGTGAACCCAAGGGGCCACTACAATCGAGCATGAGATTCCTCAAAGTAGTTAAGCCTTCCAAAACAGTGCCATACAGCGTCAGAGAAGTTTCGAGAGGGTCGCATTCACTGTTGCAGTGAATGCCTCGTCTGCTCGTGTAGTAGATCCTCACGGTTCGGGGTTGAGATACTTCTGGCCAGCACGATTTTCGGGCATGCGGAAAGGAGGAGGTTGAAGAGCAGCCAGCGGGCGGTTGGTGTCCACGCAGAAGTGCCATCGAGGACGTGCTTGTCTGGGGAATCTACGGCCTTAAACCATGGGTCCGGCACTCTAGGGTACCTTATTATTTGTGGTTTTCATAACAAGGATCCTACTATGTAGGGTACCATATTAGGGTCCCATATTTCGGAAACTCACATATCGGTTTCCTACTCTTTATCCCCCAAAGGGTGGTATTTCTTGTGGCCTGCTGTTCCCTCAATGCATAACAGCCCAGATCTTACGAGAGTGAGCCGCCTCTGCCGTTGTCTCCACAGAACTTTTCCAACCATCCTGACTGTTGTGTTTCAAGGAATTGTATACTGTTTAACGGTTTTGGATACATTCCGAACCTTTTTTTGTCCCGTAGGCTCTTAGTGTATGTTTGTGTTGTGCTGGCTTTTGACAGCAGCTTGTGTTTGCTGTTTCTGTTCATGCTCTATCTGTTCCATGAGACCAAGGAGCTCAAGCCAACAGGAACCAATGAACATATGGGGTTTGCAGTTGGGCTTGGGCGGATGTGTTCCCTGCAAACGCCCAGCCCCTTTCACCAGTAAGCGTGTCATGCGGTACAGTTCTCGGGATTGGGGTTTTGTGATGTGGTTTGCGGAAAGAGTCGAGGACGGCGATGTGCCAGAGGATGCTGACAAACCCAAGGCGCAGAACATGATTCTCTAGTGCATGGCATTTGGTGTTGATGTGCACACTCTAGACTCTAACTTTCAGGGGCTTCGGGGTTTATACAGGAAGTAATGACAACACATGCCTCGCAACCTGCAGCCCTCTGAGAATCGAGCCCCAGTTCATTGCCGCATATTTTGCCACACCACGCAGACAGATTCTTAACGGGTGGCAAAGCGATTCTGTTGCACTCCTTGCGTCGCAGGATTGCGGATCCGAACGGAATGTACAGTCGCCACAGTCACACAAAGCCCACCCTTCCAAAGTATGTGCCACGTCGCTATGCAACAAATGCTATGACTGAGCACTTGAGGCTTGTGCTTGGTGCGCCCGGCGGCAGGATGTGGCCACGGAGGCCAGTTGAAGAGCATGGGGCAGCATGTTCCTGTTGGCCTTTGCTGAGGAATGGTGTCTAAAACCACAACTCTGCCTGAACGTTCAGGCTTCGTGCATATTCTGTCTTCAGAGCAACCCAAGGACCACTGCCCCATGCAAGCCCTGCACTGCGACGCCGACACTAAGCCCTGAACCCCTAAACACTCCTGCGTTGAGCGAGTGTGAGAGTCGAAAAACTCGTCAGGGAGCCGAAGATCCGCCAGCACGTGCTTGGTGCCCACGCCGAAGCCAAGTGGTCGAGGAGAGGTTTCCCATTCAGAGCTTAATTAGAGTTTTCGCCTTTGCCTTAACCCGGAAAAACTTCCCTCTCTGAGGGCTTATATGAGGAAATCAAAATAAGGAACCCATCAAAAAGGTATGCTTTCCAGGGTTTAGGTGAGGTTGAGGGATGTAGGGGCTGAGGGTTGGGAGGGCTTTCGAGATTTTGCAGGGGTTTGGGATCTCCACAGAGTTCAGCTTACTATTATCCGGTAATTCTAGTCAAGCAAGACAAGTTGAGGTATAGTCGGACTTGCAGTAGCTTTTCGATTCTTGGAGATTTTGTTTCCGGTGGTAGTCCCCATCGGAGCCGGCGGCATTCACCTGGATCTATCGTACGATGAGCTAGAGCATATGGGCGAAAGCACCCGAAGCGTGCCTGTAGTCGTTGTAGCCCCAACCTGCAAACTACCCCACAATCATGGGAGCTAAGCCCGAACCCCACTACAAACAAAGCTAGCAGCCCCTTCATTTTGGCTTTCGACCATAGTATGGTAGGATGTGGGAGCCACAAGAAAACCCTGAACCCTAAACCCCAAACCCTGCAACTGTTTTCAATCAATCACCATATGTCAGACATCGCAAGCGGGCATCGACTTCCAAGCAAAGCGAGAGGGAAAAAAGCCCTGCAACCCTCAAAACGGAGTTTCATGTGCCAGGAGTCAGCCGGCGAGCCATTTTCGGACGGGCAGCCTGCGGCGGATACCCCGGAGCCTTCGGCGCTCTAGCGTTTGAGCTTAAGGCTTTGAGTTCCGGGTGTAGTACCCTAAACCCCAAAACCCCTAAATCCTAAACCCTAAACCGTAGGGTTAGCGGCGTGAGCAGGGCATTTTCATCTTCAGGCTTAGGACGCTAGCCTTCGTTGCCTGAAGTACAGCTTTGGCTCACGACAGACCCCGCTTGATCCGCAAACCACAAATCCTAAGCCGATTCTCCGGGGCCCCAAATAGCCCAAAGTAGATGCTATCTGTAGACTTTAGACCCCAAAGTAGGTACTATTTGTATACTTGGAGCCTGAGGGATTAAGTGTTCTACCCTGTCTTTGTCTACGACTACCCGAAGCTTCAATCATAGCCTCGGACTACGGCTGTGAGTAGGCAGGTTGGGGATCTGGGTTTAGGCTGAGGGAGTTCGCCCTACTGGTAGCTGGGCAAGCTCCGATCATGCCTGTGTAAAAAGGCTGAGGCCCTTTGGGTTTAGAGTGAGGGCCTGAGGTTTCAGGGTTTCTGTGCTCTGCAGCCCCTACTCAGCAAAGGGGATAAGTTAGGATGCTGCAATTGAAGCAGGTACAGGGATTTTTTCTTGCGTTTCTCAGCTGGAGATTGCTGCATTGCCACCCTCGCGGTCTTCAGAAGTAGGGTTAATGGGCAAGTTTAAGAGATTTCTCTCGGAGGAGTTTGGGTTTGGTACGACGAGCAGAACTTAATAGAAGTTATCAGGCTTCGAAGCCCCGAAGTGGCCACGGTAACGGGCATTGTCAGCATTTTAAACAATGTGTCGGGCTAAGCTTTGTAGGGATGTCATGCGTGTCGGCGTGGAGGACTGCATCCTTACCCACACCATCAAACACCTCTGCTTAAGAGGGTGTTGTAGTTGAGTTTTGTCTCGTTGTTTCAGCTGAACCGCACGCCTGTTGTTTCTGTAAACGATTTCGTGAATACTGTATACACTTATTAGGGAAAAGTGCTGCGCCCTAAAGCATGAAGACCGTAAACCCCAAAGTCCCTGAAGCTCTAAATTCTAGTAAGTAATAGTAAAGAAGGAGGGCTCCACTAAAAGCTATCAAACCTAGAACCCTCATAAGATGCGATAATTATGCCTGTATATAAACCCGTTCAGTAGCCTTCGGGCTCCAAATAGCAAAAGGTAGCTACTATGCATAGACTGTTGGGCCCAGAGTAGGCTTGGAGGCCTCGGGTAACCCAAAAGTCTTGCGAGAGCGAGAGACAAAACCCTACACAAAGCTCTAAAACCCTAAGCCCAAAGCCACAAAGGACCAGGCCTTCGGCTGGTGTCGTAGACGAAAGAGCTCTGAGGACAGCTCATTGGGTTCCTTGGTTCCTTCGCTGTGATCGTTAAAGAAAGGCCCCGTATTGCCAGTTAGGCCCCTCCAAGGGATCGATCGGGGTTTCTTTAAGCGCTCCCTTCAGGATTTCATTTAAAAACAGCCCCTTTGAGAGATCAAGGAAGAAGTTAAAGGATGCTATAAGGGCTTGGGTATTGGGGTTTCGGGTGCTTCAGTCACTACACCCTCGGGGCTGCCATGCGGGAGCGGCAACATACAGAAAACGACATGGCACTGCAAGGCGAACCCGCAGGCCATGCTTTTGCTCTCAACCCCACCCCGGCAACAAGAAAAGCTCGCAAAGCCAACATATACCACGAACCTGCGCACATCTCAGAAAATGCCTCCAGACGAGAACCCGGATTACGAAGCTGCCAAACTGTCTTGGGGTTGAGTGATCAGGAAGGTGGAGGGTCTAGTCTTATAGGGCTTAGGTGTAGGAGTTAGGGACAGTTCAGGGCCCGGGAGCGGTCAGGGACTGCGATTCTAGCATGGCCACGTGGTGTGATTCTAGCGAGTGCCCCCTCCAAGACATGCTCTTTGTACACTATACCTAGATTTGGGCGATGCTCTTCGCGACACAGAGCACGGACAAGACAATCTTGAATGCTGGCAGCGAGATCTTAAAGCAATGCGAGATTCGATGCATTGGGCGACTGAAGGCAATGTCACAGCCTAGGCTGCCAACATTCCTGACTGCAGCATGTAATTCAAATTCGTACCCAGGCCCTGAATTGTCTCACTTTTGTCTTGATATCCAGAGCTCTATAGTTAGACTGACTCCTCCACTACGAAAATAGGACCAGCGACCACAGAGATAACCACAAGTCAGTCTCGCTATCCGAGCAAACCCGTTTAGGTTTGAGGTTGAGATATGGGGGTATGGTGTCAGAGGGGCCTTAGGGTTTAGGGCTCATTCAGGACGCCGAGGGAGCTACAGAGCTTACTTCCGAAACCGACGAGGCTCGGCCACGCAATTCAATATTTGGGATCGATCACGATCTTTGTTTGTTGTTCATTCACTCTTGGGGCCCTCCCGAACGGACTATTCACATTTCCGGACGAAGAACCATGCCCATCCACCGACTTGGTTTCTCGGTACGGGGACGCAGCTGGGCCCACAACATGTGCAACTTCAGCTTCCGGAGCTATAGCTGTCACTGGTCGTGCTTGGCGGATATGGTTTGGAGGTAGGCGCACTTTGCACAAAGAATATTCATGATTCACTTTGAACAGGCTAGGGTGAGCGTTTCGAGGTTCGTGCTTCGCGCAGGTCATGGAAATCCAACAGCAAGTCCCAAAAATGAACTACATTACGAACCCTGAACCCCTAAACCCTAACCCTGAAACTTAGCCGGGGACCCCAAATGAGCAGAAGCTTTATACTTTTCCCGTTTGAAGCAGTAAGTAGCACCACCCAGATCTGGGTTTAGGGTTTGAGGTGTGCATGTACAAGTCTGTGCACAAAGGGTTTGAGGTGTCTTGATTGATTTTACGGTTATATAGAATATGGACATCTCGAGCGACTCTGCCAAGAAGGAAGTAAGCTTCAAGATTTTGAACGGAGCCCACTCAACTCTTTAAGCCCTGCGCTGTTGAATCCTAAACCCTCTTTTGTTAAACCGCCCTAAACCTGCAGCCTGAAACCCTTGACGTGAAGCGTAGAGGCCAGAGTGCTTACCCATACTATTCCTGCAGCTTCCATGTTGTAACTATAGAATAGTATAGCCTGAAATTCCGTTGCCATGATTACTACCATTACAGTGTCCAGCATTCTTAGTACTAGAGTGATTTCTTTTTCAAGAGTTAACAGACATGTATTATAATCTTTTCAAGAGTTACCAGAAGTACATTAAAGCCTTAACCAGGCATCTTTCTTTGCTCGCTGTCGGCGTCGTCGGGATGCTGCTGAGGACTCGATCTGGTCCTCTCGGGCCTCTCGGGGCTTTGGGAAATTCTAGAAAGATGAGGATTTAGGGAGTCAGGAGTGCTGACCTTCCGTCCATGTATTCAGGCGATTGCACAAGTCCTGATGCAAAAAGCTGTAGGTTTTCGGACTTAGGTTTTGGGGTTTAGAGTTTACGATGTTCGGTTCAGGGTTTAGGGCTAATGGCCCGTCCCAACTGGTGCCTCAAGACGAGGTTCAAAAAGGTTCCAGGGTTTAGGATGCTCGTGCAAAGAAAGGTTATTATTGCCCAAGCCCAAGGGTTAAGATGCATGGGTTCTCGTGTAATGGTTGAGTGAAGTGGAGTGTCTTTTTTCAACCTGATGCCCATAAACCCACATCACATGCTGTAAGCCGACATATGAGATGTACACCTTCGCTAGGACACCTGGGGTCTGAAGCTAGACACTTACAGTATCATCTCTCAGCCCCTCTGCACTCCTACGAAGATGAGAGGTTGATAACCCTTTAGCCACAGAACGAGCAGGCAAACGACCTTAAGCCCAGACAAGCCGGTGAAGCCCTAAAACCGAATCCGAAAACTCATAGCCCAGAAGGCTAAACCACAATCTCTCTTATCCCTAAACCCTAAACCCGGAACCCCAAAGCCCTAAAGCACCAGGAGCTTAATGTACCCTCTGAGGGGGGCGCCCGTTGCTGTTCCAGACGACAGCCTGCTGAGGAGGACGTTGCGGACTTGGCTTACAGCCTGTCAGCCCTAAACTTTGAGGTTCAATTCTCTTGCTTTGAATTTGGGTCCCATAAGGTCGGATTAAGTATAAGATGTATAGCCTATATAAATATATGTATTATATATGCAGATACATAGTATAGACACGCACGCGCACAAATACACACACACATTTAGAGAGAGAGAGAGAGAGAATACAAACATGCAAGGTCAGCGATAATTAAGACCCGAGAAAGCTTGCGGAGACCCAGAACCGCGAGCCCTAGCGTAAAGACAGGAACCCCCACATCCAGAAGCTTCCATCCGGACGACTGAAAGCTTCAACCTTTTGTCCCAAGCCCCGAACCTCAAAGGCTTAGGTTGTGTTAGGCTTTGGGTCTTTTAGGGCTTCTCATGCTTTTACAATGCTTGGGGTGTTTAGGGCTTTAGGGATGAGGCTTTTCTTGGAGGACTGCAGGCTGTAGGATTTAAAGTCAGAGATTCTTGGGGTGTTGGCTTTGATGGCTTCGGTGCAGCTTAGGCTGTTTATGGTTGCAGGGTTCAGGTTAAACTACCTAGATAGAGTCTAGAGGCTCCATAGTACTCCCATTTGCCTAAGTCGTTGCGTTTTGTTCGTGGCAGCGCCAGACCTTCGGGGGAAGCTTTGTTGTGAGGTCGTTGCGTTTCGGTGTGCACATGGGGGAAAGGCTTCCAAGGTGATGATCTGCGTGTTTCTTTGCTGCATGGTCCAGGCCCGAAGTCATCCCAGGTCCAGTGTGCACTTGCGGATTCTGTGGAACCGTGTCAATCGGGATCCTCGGACATGCTTGTAAACTAGATGCTTCAGTCAGTGTGCAGCTGCTGTTTGCGATTCCAGCGGTACTAGCAGTAGGTTTAACAGAAAGATGCGCTGAAGAAAAAAGAAAGACTAACTTTCGGCAAACGTCCAAACCCTGTGTGCTCGTGCTCTGTCAGAGGAGACCACATTGAAAGCGAAGCTGGGGAGGGGAAGCGGCTGCGGCTGCTTTACCCCCTCAGTGCATACGGGCCGTGGTTTGGAGGTTTGCCGAAATCTTAATTTTGGCTCAAAGTTTGGCTCAAGCCTCTCAAGGTCCGTTCTTCACCGGTTCCTGGAGGTGTGCACTTGCAGAAGGCTGCAAAAACGAACAAGCACGCGGGCTTTCACATAAGTTGTTCACTCTTGGGGGACGGTGCGCGGGGGCTGTGCTCTTGCCGGAACGGCAAATGCAAGGACTTTGCAGCGACCCCAGTCGTTGCGTGTGTGCAGATGGGGGAAGTATCAAAAACGCGAAATGCAACGACTAAGGCGCGTAGGAGTAGTTCCTTTTTGGGGTTCAGATTTAGAATCCTGTAAGGTAACCCCCAAAAGACTTACTTCTGGGGTCTATGGGTAGTAGCTACTGGCATTTAAGCAGACTCACTTCTCAAGTTCGCATCGAACCTCGCTTCTGTGGGGGCAAAGTGAACCCCGAAGCCACATGCACCTTTACACATGGTGTCCCCCCAATTGCTGGGGCAGTGCCCTGTTCTTGCGGAGAATGAAATCAAAGGAGGTTAGGACTGCCTTTTCTTTAAATCTTGAAACCACGTAAGCTCGACATAGGCCATGCGGATGGGCAAAGCTTTATTTCCCAGTTACTGGCACCTTTTTCACCTTTCACCCTCAACCATGTCATGCCTACCTGGGTCCACCCGCCCGCTGAAGCCCGAAAACGCAGGAGTCCGAAGCACCTTCAGAGGGTGCCACTGGGTGCTGCTCCCGACGAAAGCCTACTGAGGAGGAGGCTGCGGAGTGCCTGACTACAATGTAGATACCCAGACCTTCCAAAATCCTTTAATTAAGGAAGATCCCCTAACTTCTAATTGGGATCCCTGGTATGATTTAAGGTTCCTTAAGGGATTTGGAAGGTCGACGCAGCACCCTGAACCCTCACCCTGCCAAAACCTGAACCTCCAATCCTAAGCGCTGAAAACCCCGCCTGCACGAACCTCATACCGTGAACCTTAAATCCTAATTACACTGCCTTGAATGCGAAGCCTGAACCTGCAATCTAGCTTTGAATGATGTTTCAAAGTAAAGTGTCAGCGACGATTCAAGAAGGCACCAGCGCCAACGCCCACAGCCTCGACTCGACTCGTTTGAATTCCCTAGGGATATTGCACTTTGCGATACTTAAGATAAGAAACCCGGAAATAGTATAGGTAATTATTAAGGCCCCTTCAACACAGGAGACTGCTTCTGGCGACTCTGCCGCTGGCTGGTGTGCACGGCGACAGCATGCAGCTGAGGAAGAGGAACAGAACGCCCAGGTAGCAACGGCTACTTCCAGGGTTCTCATGGTTTTTTTAGCATCGACTTAGAACCCTAAAACGGGTCTGAGTAGGGTTCTGAAGACGACGACCGAAGCTGGAGCAACATGTTTTTTCCATCTACTTACTAAGTCCCCTGACTGCAGGAGCAGTTTGGCAACCACTATCAACTAGATGCTGCTCTTGAAGCAACTACAGTCCATGTTATGCGATGTAAGCTTTCCCGGTGTACATCTACACACATGGACCTGACATGGATGTATCATAATATGTTCACACGTGCATACATACATAATATTTTCATACATACACATACATACATACATAAATACATACATGCATAAATACATAACATACGTGCATATGCATGCGTGCATGCATACACACATACACACATAAATATTTACATACATACATACATGCATACGTACATTTCTACCCATTGACATGTACATATACATACATATATATATATACATATACATATACATATAAATGTATACATATGCCGCTCTAAATCCCCGCCTATCGCAGGAGGAGTGGGGTAGGCATTAGAGTTTATGTGTGTGAAAACCCTGTGCGCGCAAAGACGGTGGCAAGGGCTTTCTGACGCATAGGCGTCGACATATTAATTTACAACAATATCCATACATCATACTTACACACGCATACATTCATAAACAGGTAATTAGATCTGTATGTATATGCGCATATGTCGGACACTCCAGGTTGTGCCCTTCCTGTGTGGACCCAAGAGACCTGGTCTGGCTATATAAGTCCGAGCTGCGAGAGCGTCAACCCGAATCGAAGCCTGTGTAAGTTACACAGAACGCACACCTAAACCCTAAGTCGTACGTAGAACCCTAAGCCTTCAACCCTTACAAGAACCCTCTGCAACTTAGAGGCTCCCTGAACCCTAAACCCCTAATAGCCCTAAGCGCTAGGCTCTACCTTAAACCGCCTTAAACCGGAATAGCCTACCTTCTTAAGGACCTATACAAGGAAGCCAGAATAAGGAACCCTGAAAAGGTAGGTTATTCAGGGTTAAGGTAAACCCTATGTGCCAGGAAGCAGAGGCTGGCGATCAGTCACTGAGCCGGTGGTGCACACGGCGTCGGCGTACGACCGAAGAGGAGCAGAATGAGCTTAGTATACTCCAAAAGGCGTTCATATTTACCTATACTATTTTGGAGGTGCCTTAACATAATTATAGTCGTTTAGTAGACCCCAAAAAACCCTATTCTAATTGTTAAGGCCCCTACCTTAGCGGGCTAGATAGTTTCGAACACTTTTCCTTGTGCGCTCCATAGTTTGTTAGGTATACTATAACAGTATGCGCCAAGACGCCTATTCATCAAGGCCTCTACATAAGCAAGCTTCGGTTTAAGGGCTTCCGAGGTCTTCTTTAAGGGCTTCCGAGGTCTTCTTTAAACTAAGCCCTCCGGCCTCGCCCTTGGGAGTCCTTTTCTAATCTTGTCATACTGACTCATTCGATGAGACGCCCTAAACACACAGCATTATATCCGAATATATGCAAGCATGAATGAGTATCAATATTGTTCCTTGGGGCTCCTCATACTGAATGACCTGATTCAATCTAGTTTTAACATACACCGAAACCCTGTTCAAATTATTCTACTGTTGTGGTAATAATACGCACGGAACCCTAAACTCATTGAGAGGCAGACTGTGATCCCCACGCCAAGCCTTTTAAGATAAGGTTCTCATTCAGTTTATAGGTTTTTGCAGCTTTGTGCATTTTGCCTTTTCGCGAGGCGTATAAAGTCAACAGAACAGTGACACAGGTAACATGCTGTCCTTTGTCACTTTTTCTGAAAATGAAAAAGCATCCCAATCAAACATCGCTAGAACGCACAAGATGTGGTACACTCTGCCTCTAAACCCTAAACCCTTTAATCTCTGAACCCAAACCCGTACACTGTAACTTCATGAGGAGGGCCAGACCCTGGTGGACTCTGCAGCTGATGCAGAGGTCATGTTGTGCATGGTTCAGGGTTTAGGGTTTAGCGGCATACACTGCAAGTCCGTGCTTAAAAAAGGGTTTAGGGTTTGGGCTTTGAGATGCGAATCACTATAGCATACCACAGAGCTTCAATTTGACATGCCAGCATTTGCATCCTTCTTGATGGCTGCTCCAGCTGCTTTCACATGCTCAGAGAGACCCCGAAGCCGTGAAGCCCGCCCTGAGCTGAACCCTAAGCTCTGCCTCCACTGCCCTGCTACCTGCTTCCGAAGTTGTGGAGGAATGGAGCCCCAAGCCATGTATCCCATATACAGAGCCGAAGCTTCATGTTGACCCCTGCTTAACGAAACCCCCCGTTCGGTAACCATAAAGGTCTGAATGTTAGGATTTGCGGTTCTCATTTGTAGAAAGCTCGGGGTCCGCGGGCCAAGCGATTCCGGAGCCGTGGATGCTTGTAGGGTTTACCCATAGGCCCCAAAGCAGTTCCTTTTTGGGATTACCTAATAGGGTTCTAAAGATGAACCCCAAAAAGGAACTACTTTAGGGTTGTAGGGTTTAAGGTTGAGGCTTAGGTTTCTGTCTTTTGGCCTGCTGCTGTGATTCATGACCTCCCATTTCTTGAGCAACGTAGTACGACGATTCCTGTGCGGGAGACGGAGCGAACAGTAAGTATTGCGCTGGCTGCTATACATAAGTTGGGATCCCGCCGAATCAGGGGTGGCCCCATGTAGCGGCTCCGCAGAATGACACCAGCAGAGCTTCAAAAGGGGCGGTACATCACACTAAGACTAATAAGGCATGACACCAACACAGCTTCAAAGAGGGCGATACATAACACTAAGACGAAGAAGGTTTAATTTACGAATATCCGTCCAGAGGGACCTATATACCCTTCTTAAACCTAAACCCTAAATCCTTAAACCTAAACCCCAATTCAGGCGGCTGCTGCATCATCCCGACAGGCAGTCCCAGTCCCAACACAAGTGGGCCGGGGCAAAGGATGGTTTTTGTGGGTTTTAGGGGTTTAGGGTTTAGGGTGTGTGTGCTTTCTGATGCTGAATGCTCTTGCGCGTGATAGCACGTAATCCTAAGCCAGAAGTTTTGCGTCGGTATGTGTGTATGCTTGTGCCATGCAGGCAGAGCTAGACACACGTACCCACATAGTCAGCAGGTAGAAGAGTATGTACCCAGATGGGTACTAGACTGGACAGCGAGAGGGAGCGCGTCACCTTGTATTTTCCTAGCGTTCAGGGTTGGCCAACCCTAGGGCTCCAAGTATACACATAGCACCTACATTGGGGTCTAAAGTCTATAAATAGTATCTACTTTGGGCTGTTTGGAGCCACAGGGAAAGGTCCATGGTCAAGGCATGTCAAGGCTGGAAATAGTACAAACATCCCCTTGCTTTGTGATTGCATTTCTTGTCGACGGGTCGGTCGTCGCATCAAGCGATGCCGACTTCGGCGAGGACAGCGCAGTGCCCTAACATGTGCACATGTTTGGGCAGTAGTGAAGTGGTGAAAACATGTTTAAGGCTTAGGCGGTTTAGGGATGATTAGGGTTGAGGGTTGAGGTGGTTCGAGTGTGGTTAAAATGTTTTCACCACCTTCGGGCTATTCAGAAGACCGAACCCTCTCTAATCCTTCGAGCCGCATAGCCCAAGTTTGGAGCTGATAGGTGCTTGCTTGAGTGAGTCTGTAGTTGGAGGTTCATGGGTAGTTACAAATGGAGTTAATGGTCCCCTTGTATGGGCTATAAGTATAGTTACCCTACTTCTAGTTATAACACCATTTAGAACTACCCATGAACCTCCAAGTAGATACCACCAAACCTCGATGCCCGATGCCCTGGTAGCCTAAACATGAACCAATGGCCGAACCTGAAAATCCTATTCTTGCCCTGAGCCCACCCGTCATTGAACTCCAAGTTCCCAAACCCTAAAATCCAAGCCCCAGGAAGCCCAAGCCCAAAGCCCTGTCTTGGGAGACGGAAAAGGGGGGTACACAAAAATTCAATTGCACCCCGCGAGCTTCCAGGCTTTTTCAGGCCGTCGTTCCTGGTCCCCTCGTGAGGCCTTGCTTTTGTTTTTGCTGAGTCCAAGATAGAAGGTTCAGGATTTAAAGTTTATGGCTCAGGGTAAACATGGGTTAACTGATATAGAGTGTTTCCAAGTAGAGCAAGGATTCTGGATGAAAGCTTGAAGGCGTGGAGCCAGGGTCAGATTGTTCATTACATATTGGCGGATCTGACTTTGTGGCGCCTTTTCCCCGCTCTGCGTCATAAGTGCAGCCAATCAGTCACTGCCCTGAGGCTCCATAGTAGTTCCTGTTTGGGGTTCATGTTTAGAACCCTATAAAGTAATCCCAAAAAGGAACTACTATGGAGCCTATGGGTAGTCGCTGTTTCAACAAAGCCACCGGTGATTGATCTGTTCGCAGCCTCAGCCCGAACGGTGGGTTCAACATGTTGTGCTTCCTAGTGCAGGAACCTGATTAAGAAGCCCTGGGTCTATAATCCTAAAAATTAGGATTCATATAGGGAACCCTAATAACAAATTAACCAAGGCCCAAGGTTTCTTACTCAGGTTCCTGCATTACATTTCCTCTCCTAGTGTGTGTGTGTGTGTGTGTGTGCTATTGCTTTTCCGGACCTGAGGGTCTATTCAATGCATTGGCCATCCTGGTTCTAATGGGTTACGGCAATCGAAAGTTCACCATTTTGGTATTAGTGTGAGGATTTGAGAAAACGGCTGAAAATTCATGATTGCTGGTTCAGCTCGAAACATGGGAGTACTAAACCCTGAGATCTAAAGCTGAATTCTCGCTCTGCTGAAGGTAATTTGCTGTATTCTTTAGAGACTGAGTAGGTAACCTTTAGCCTTTTGGGCCTTCGGTAACCCTAGTATGAATTGATAGATTCATCTGGTTCGGGCTAGGGTACTCGGCTAAGTTGCAATCACCAGACTCCTTCTGCGAGCTCCTCTCGAAGAGACACGCGCTGTAGGACCAGGCTCAAGCAGCGGTGCTTGCTGCGGAATCTCCAGACACTTGACTGACATTTTCAGCATCCTGGGGCGGGAGGGCTCCAAGGGGGAATAGAGAACCCTAAGGTCCCCTTAAGGTTCCCTAAGGATCCCTTGCGCCCTCCCCTCTTGAACCACCCTCCCTTGGGGACCCTAGAAGACGTGGACTTCTGAGGGCTTGAGTGTAATGATCACAATTGCTGGTAGTATTCCCTTGTAGCCGATGTCTGGTCATAGCTAGAAATACAGCGAGATAGTACACTCTTCAAGGCCCTGCAGCAAGTTGAGGGTTGTGAGAGTGGAGAGTTGGGGATTGTCGGCCTTGGCCACATTGTTTTTTGATTGTTGGTGAATGACATGTTTCGGTAGCCCGAAGCCGCTGTACTGCTCTCTGGATTTTGGTTGTATTTTCTTTTAGTACAAAGTTAGACGGATAACAAGAATATTGTTGTATGTGGGTGTTAAGGGCGGCTAATTCTGAAGCCCTATACAAATGCTGAACCCAAGCCCCGACAAGCTTCAACCCAAGGGCAGATCCCAAACACAAACCGTTGCCCCCCCCAACCAAAAACTAAACCCCTAAACCCTAAACCCTCGAGCCCAGATCTTCAGTCCCTCCGTCCTAGGCTCCAAGCATGCCCTAAATCCCGGGTCCCGAAATTCCCGCACCCCTAAGCCCATGTCAAAATGCTTGCTTGGATAGTCAGTATAATACTATTCCGTCGCGGTTACTAGAAAAGAGAGACCCCTATACCTTCAGAACCTATAATTATCAAGGCCCTTATATCATAGTACCCGTATAGTAACCCTTCTAAAGAGGGGTTATATGAACCCTATTCTAGCTTTCAAGGAAGCCAGATCTTACAGGCCTTACAAGCCCTTCGCAGCCCACCGAGGTCGATGCCGAGGGCGAGGAGGAGGAGGCCGTGATCTGCGGCAGTTGTCGCTTCCCTTTTGTTGCCACTATAGGGGCCTAAATAATTACCTATACTATTTTGGGGGATCCTTGTTCGAGTTGTACTGTAATATGCCGCCAAGCCCTGGTGCCGATTATAGCCCACGAAGTCCCTTGACACTCCCTAAAGCCTAAACCCTAATTCAAAACAGAGAAGCTCCTAAACCCTAAGCCCTAAACCCTAAACCGCATGACCCTGGACCCCAAACCCTACAGAAACCCCCCAAACCCTAAGCCCTAAACCCTAAACCGCATGACCCTGGAAATGAAGTTGCCTGTGGGTGCAGGGGCTCCAGCCTCCCACGTTATGTTTCAGTAAGGCCGGGAAACCTTCGGCCCAGTTTTTTCACCAAAAGCTGTAGTGCTAGTATAGGGGCCTAAACAATTGCCAATACTATGTTTCGGGATCCTTATTGCATGTATAGTATAGCGGGCCCTCGAAACCCTATTCTACTTATGAAGGCATCTTTTGCATAGAGCCCTTATAGAAAACTGTTAAACGAAGCCTATTCTGGTGATTAAGGCCCCTATACTATAGCACCTTTATAGATCCTTATAGTAGCCCATATATAGAGCCCTTTAAAGGAACCCCATTCCAATGATTAAGGCCCCTCTGCAATAGCACCCTTATAGATCCCTTATAGTAATTAGCCCTTATATAGAGCCTTTTAAAGGATTTTGTTTAGAATTGCTAAGGCCACTAAAGCACCCTTTATAAACCCTAAACGCTAAAGGGTTCTTTCCGCGAGCAGGAGATCCAGCAACTGGGCTCGGAGGCCGGTCCGGTCAGGGCCACTTTGCTGCTTACGTTTCACCCTTGTCAACTGCAGGATCCCTATAAAGTCTGCGGGAATTCAGGGGTTCAGAAGATAGTTAGATAGGTAGGTAGATAAACAAAACCCGAAAGTTTCAGGAGAAGAACAAGAAATTAACCTCGCAGTTAGAGATGTCGAATTCCGCAGAAAGAAGGCTTGTCCCTTCTTTTCATCGGGGCATTCTGCGACCCTAAACCCTTCAGCCTAAACTCTGGACTCCTCCTGTAAAACCTGGAACCTACATCTTAAACTTAAGCCTAAACTCTAAACTCTACACCGCAAACTCCTAAACTCTAAACCCTAAACTGTACAACCTGGAACCTAAACCTGAAGGCTTCAAGCTCAAATCAGCGGATTTTGGGGTTTTTTTGGGTCAGATTCAAAGCGAGGGCTGGCGATGCTGCAAGCGGCGTCGACTCGAGGACTGGCACCGTCCGTTGTAGCTTGGGTACGGCCCTCACTCAGAATTAGTTGAATAATATTCATTTTGTAGATATATTAGGACCTTAATTGTAGCCCTATTGAAGACTATTACTGTATGGGGGCATTACCTAATTTGTAGCGTTGTATACTTTGTCTTGGTCTCCGGTGGGTTGAGGGAGTAGGTTTCATTAGGACACAAGCCTCAATGGATGCTTTGGCAAGAAGATAATACGATGCTTGTTTGTTTTTTTTGTTCGTTCGTGGGTGTATGTGCGGTCGCGCGTGTTTGCCTCTGCATGGTCGCAGCCACATGTGCACACCATACTTAGGGGCTCACCCTACTGCCCAGGGCGCAACACCTCCGTGGGTGTTCGGAAGAGTCGACCTGTCCTTGCTGTGGTTTAACCTTTTCTTGAACCGCGAAGCTGGAACTGAGGACTTTTTAGGGTTTAGGGAGTATAGGGTATTGAGGGCCCTTGATTTGTTGATTTAACAACTGATTTTTAAATTCGCTTCGTCGCAATACCCGAACGCAGCCCTCCAATCCCGTGGACCGTTCGTCGTGGCTCTAAGTGGTTCAAAATCTTCTTATGGTCGTCATGTATTTCTATAGGCCCTGTGTTTTGAGTTGTCGGAGCCCTTCTTTGAGGTTCGGTAATGGTCTACATGCCGTGTGACCAGAGCTTGGTGTGGCTCAGGAGGCTGCGGATACGCCGGAGGATGATGAGGCTGCTTTTTTTTAGGGGGGGGGGTTTAGGACAGGGTGGGGGTTCAGGGCCTTGTATATGTACCCCACGATCATAAAGGGTCAACAGCCAAGACTGAAAGAAACTTTGAGGCTGCACTCCCTTGAGGCTTTCGGGCGTAAATTCTGTCTTCGAGTTTCAGGGTTGAGTGTTTATTCAGGGATGCTTCCTCGCAGCGTTTCCTTCGTCTTCATGTTGCACGGCCGGGAGCTGAACCCGCAACTTATTTGCTCTGTGTGGGTGATAATGCCATGTAGCTGTTTCCTAGAACTACACAGAACCTAGCCGCACGATTGGTTAACCGATTACATCGTAAGGCTCTGGTGCAAACACAAACGACCGTCCGCATGCCCAACACTGCCACGGCGACGTCGATCCTGGACCAAGTTAAGGCCATGAAGGATGTGCTGACCAAGCTCCACAAGGACCTCACTGACACCAAAGATGATGTAACTACGACGACGCCCACGACAGCGGGAACAAGTGAGGGAGTGGGTCAGGCACTGGAAAAGTGCAAGGAGACTTTAGCTCGGGTCGAGCTGCTGGACCGCAACCTTGAGAAGATGCATGGTAAATTCACACGCACGGTCGTTGAAGTGCTCAAGCCTGTGCTGGAGAGGATGGAAAACGCCTCCAAGACGAAGCTGCAGTCTTTGCAAGACGATGTCGGTCTCAACCGAGGCCAGGTGAGCCAACTGCACCCATAATCCGAGTGATGGAAAAACCACCAGTGGACTGGTACTTATTGCAAAATCCCCATAATGTCTAAAGGAATGTGACGGGAAAGGAACTTCAAGCCTGAACCCCTCCCGAACCCGACATCGGGTCATCTGTCCCAGCATGTTCAGGACTCCTTGTTATGATTCAGTTTTTGGTTATGCAAGACTAGGACCCAGAGTAGGCCCTCAATTCCGGTTTTTAGGGTTCAGATTCCCTTGTAACCCCCTTTAAACCAAAAAGGGCACCCTTTTCATTCCTAGGTTACTCTTACAGAAGTAGGTCTAGCAGATCGTTACAAACAGGTAGTGTCTTTGCTGTGGCCGGGGTTAGGTCGAGCCCTGAGGCTCCAGGTGCCCCACGTCCGATCACTACTGCTACTACTACTACTACTACTACTGCCGGTCGATGGGTGAGTTCTCTTTTGCGCCTAGGTTTTATCCGGTGTGGGGCTCAGAAATTAGGATTCGCATCGGGTCTTTAAAGTTTCGAGTCTGGGCTTGGGTATCAGGGTTCACCTAGAGCCCCGGGCTTCGATGGCTGGGGCCCCGTAATTGCAACCCCTAAACCCTAAACGGCCCAACCCTAAACCACGGGACTGCAAACAACGAAAGTGAGCTTGCATGGATCATGCAGTCTTGCAGTCAGTAATGACATGTGCAGGCAATCCACTTTGGTGAAAGTACACTGGGTGCTAAAGTCGTTTTGGACTATTGGCCGACGGTGAAAAGGCCGCGCGTGTGTGAAGTGCACACACTGCGCAGATGTGTGTAGAGGGGTCTTCTGAACGCTTGAAGTGAGTCTTTGCCTGAGTCTTGACGTCTCAGCTTGTGCTTTGCCTGATGGTGATTCCAAGGTGGATGTGCGCCTTTGCCAGATTTGTCAGCACTGCCATCAGGGCTCCTCCTTGCGAAGTGGGAGGCAAAAACACAAATAAATTATGAACCGTGAATCACAAAAGGAACCCTAAACCCCCTAAGCCCTAAGCCCCCTAAACGCTGCTAAGCCATAAAATCATAAGCCATGAAACACAAAAGGTACCTTGCTGCTGAATATTCCGATATTGCTGCAGGAGCTAGAAGTCGAAGACGAGCCTCCCGCAGATGTGGAGGAGGCGGGATTCCTGACATTACCCATAGGCCCCATAGTAGTTCCTTTTTGGGATTGCCTTATAGGATTCCATATAAATTCTATATATGAACCCTAAAGAGGAACTACTATGGAGCCTCCAGGTATAGTGAACCCCAGAAAGTTGGGAACTGGGTTAAGGGCAACTAGTGCTGGGATTCTCCATACATTACTCAGGCTATTGGGTTTCCAGCTTTTGTGCTTCTACTGCAGCATGAGGTTACTAAGGATTTTAAAGGGGATTTACGGAGGTTTATAGGGTTTTGCTGGGGTATAGACAGCCAAGAAGCCCAGCATCTTTTCGATTCAAGAAGGAGTATAATTTGAATCATGCCCGGGACTCCGCTGTGTTTTACACGACCTTCCGAATCCTTGACCGGGGCACGGGCTATAGAGGGGTGTTCCAAGAGTTTCTCAAGGGAAATCCATATCTGAGATGATCTAAACTTGGTGTATTTCAAGGCTCATGTTAAGTAGAGTACGTGGAGGTTGAAGACCCTGTCATTGAACCGATTGTAGAAGAACCTCAATTGGAAAACCGCACTGACGTATAATGGCGGTATCAACGAAAGCCTTCAGTCATGAAGCGCGTGGGCTGACCCAACCCCGAATCTTGGCCCCATAAGCCCCAACGTCCAGCTTTTCACAAAGTTTAATTAATTTAGGAAATGTTACAGCCTGAGACCATCAACCCTGAAGCCTGAACCGGACAACTCCAAACCTGACGCCCAAAGCCTCTAACTATAGGGGCCTAAATAATGACCTATACTATTTGGGGGCTTCCTTATCACACCAAAACCCTAGTCTTTTTATTAAGGCTCCTAGATTCGATTAGTCTGGCAGAGGATGCAGATCCGGTCAGCATCGGAGACGTTGAGGTCGGCTCAGTGGCTCATCTGTCGGGATTGAAAGTATTTCGGGGCCTGAATTATAGTTGCTGGTAACTACCTATGCCTAGAGGCTCCATAGTGGTTCCTTGTTGGGGCTCATACTTAGAATCCTACGAGGTAATCCGAAAAAGGGAAACACTATGGGGCCTATGGCTGGTACCTTCCCTTCCGTCAGGGGTCGCTAACATGTAACTGTATATTGCGCATGAGCTTTTGCGAGACGGCCGGTTGAGTGTTGCCACGCCGCGTTTTGTGCTGATTGGCTTTGCATCCGCGTTTGCGAACTCGCTAGGCCCTATAGGCTCTAGGCATCCAGTGGTTAAAGAATAGGTTACTGTAGGAGCCTGATTAAGAAACCCTGGGTCCTTATCAGGGTTCCGTATATGAATCCTAATATATTGGAGGGGTTATAGGCCCACGGTTTCTTAATCAGGTTCCTACATTAATAGGCTACTAGCCATGCAACATGTAACCCAGTAACCTACGGATTATTCTTGTAACCCCCCTTACGCCAAAAAGGACACCCTTTTTATTCCTGGGTTTCTCTTAGGTCTAGAATAGGCTGCTAGCCATGTAACTTGTAACCCTAGGGATTTAAGGATTCATATATTAAGGCTTTTGGGCCCAAAGACCACTATATAAGGCTTTTGGACTATTTTGATCCCAAGGGTAACCCAGTAACCTACGGCTTATTCTTGAGGCAACTGGAGGACTTGCCAAGGCCTACTGCCAACCTCTCAGGATGAAAGAGCTTACAGTAAGGTTTAGGAATGATATCTGGGCGTCAACAATTGGAACAGGGTTCCTTAAGGTCTATAGAACGGTTACTATAAGGGGTATACTATAAGGGCTCTATAATATCGGGGCCTTAATCATTAGAACAGGGTTTGGGGCTCATTATTATATAGATATAATAAGGATCCCCCAAAATAGTATTGGTAAGTATTTAGGCCCCTCTATTATAGTTTTGGTTTGTGGGTTTACAGAAACCGGCTTGCTGTCGCTGGCGCCAATGCCTGCTGCTAGGCTCTTGCACAGGCGTTTGACAGTACACATCATGTGTTTGCACCATGATGACAGCGAAACCCTTACGTTTGCACTTGGACAGGGTGTGTGGTCTATGTGCTCCAACAACTACCCCAGACTCCAAACCCTAAGCGGTATACCACTGGCGTTTCGGGAGAGCGTGCGCAGACATACGCATGATGTTTCGAGGGTCAAGTTTCAAGTTCCCAGACCCTAAACTTAAACGCGAAATCCGACTTGTCGACTGTAATCTGTAAACTAAGCCCGGTCAACTTGAACCATTAACCCTGGAACCCGTGCCACCTTGAACCATTAACCTTGGAAGCCGTAGATAATTCCCTGAACCCGCCCGATCGCCCTAGACCCTAAAGCTACATAAACTCGCACACCCTAGGTCCCCAATCGCCAAACCGAAAGAGGTGCTTGAAACTGCCTCGGCGGCTGCAGCAGAAGTAAGGGAGGACCAAATCCTGACACTTTTTGTACGGCTTCAGGGATGTGGGTAGTTGTCAAAATTATGGCCCCTTTTGGGGTACCCTAAATATTAGGTGCCGTATTATAATAAGGACCCAAGAAGGTACCATAGTTTTGACAACCACCCATATAGGACATCGGGGTATAGGAGTTCCCTTTTAGACCCCTCTAAAGGAACCCCTAGTCTAATGAACAGGGTTTTCTTCGGTGGCTTCTGACCTCCAGGAGCCAACAGATGCCGCCGAAGCCGCCGAGGACGGCGAGGCAGGTTCAGGGCTTATCGGTTTACCTGGACCCTAAGGAACCTACCTTTTTAGGGTTCCCTAATATGATTTCGTTATATAATTCCTTAAACAGGTAGGTTACGTGGGTTTATCGGTTTGGTTAGTGGGGAATGGAGGAATGGTGTACAATTATAGCTACTCTTACTACCATTCTTCCATGCCCTACTAACCAAAGGTAAGTTTATCGGTTTAGAGTTTAGGATTTAGGGTTTGGGGTCTATCGGTTTCGGGATTAGGACTTAGGGTTCAGGGTTTATCGGTTTAGAGTTTAGGATTTAGGGTTCGGTCGGTTTCGGGATTATGATTTAGGGTTCAGGGTTAATCGGTTTGAGTTTAGGATTTAGGGTTTGGGGGTTAGGATTTCGGGATTAGGATTTAGGGTTCAGGGTTTATCGGTGTAGAGTTTAGGATTTAGGGTTTAGGGGTTTCGTTTATGCTTCGAGTGCCTGTGAGAGAGAGAGAGAGAGATAGAGAGAGAGAGGGATTTTGTTTATACGTGTAGCGGTTTAGGGATTAGTGTTTAGGTCATGAGTTGGAAGAGGTAGTCGTAGAGGAACCGTATTCAGAAGAATAAGCTGGCCTTCGGTTAGTACGGAATGGAAGAATGGTATAGTAGTTACAATTGTACCCCATTCCTCCAGTCCCTACTAAGTTACTAACCAAAGGTAAGTAAGGTTTAAACGTTCAGGGTTTGGGGATTAGGGTTTAGGGATTAGTAATCCCTAAACCCTAAGCGTTTAGGTTATGAGAGGACCCTAAACCCTAAACCGTATTCAGAAGAATAAGGAGCTGCTGTAAACCCTATAGATCCCTTTTAAAGGACGACTTATAGATCCCTTTAAAGGAACCCTATATGAGTCCTTAGATCCATAGGGTAAACCGCTCGAGGTCGCCGAGGCTGTCGACACCCAGCTGGCCGCCGACGGCTACGAGGATGAGGCGCTTGGGCCTTGGGATTTCAGAGGGCTTTAGTTGTTCCCTAAACCCTTAAACCCTAAACCCTTAAACCCTAAACCCTTAAACCCTTAAACCCTGAACCCTTGACCCTAAACCCTTGAACCCTAAAATCCTCTTGTGTTTTGGTGGTTCTTCCTTTGTTTTTACACGGGGATGGCTTGTGGAGTTTAGTCTCTTGGAGGTTGTTGTTGTTTTGTTGTTGTTGTTGTTGTTGTTGTTGCAAGGTTCTTGAACGTATCTGCTTTGCGGTTCTGTCCTGGATGACTCGCTGCAGACCAGATGCAGAAATCTGCTTGAGGGCTTAACAAGGGGATGTCGCTTTTAGAGCACATGGAGTTTAGGTACTTGCAGGTTCATGGGTAGTTATAAGTGGGGTTATAAGCCACCCAATATGGGTTATAACTATAGTTACCTTACTTATAACCCGACTTATATCCAAGGGTAGAAGGAGGGACCCTTAATAAGGACCTCTAGCTATATACCCTTAATATAGCTACTATATACCCATTATATAGCCCCATTATAGGGAAGGGGTCCCCATCAAGGGTCCCTCCTTTTTCCCTTTGATTATAACTCCCCATGAACCTCTAAGTACAATCTCAGCGGTTCGGGTGTACCGGGTTCAAGGCTGACGGGGGACTCATGGCTCCTCCAAGGTTCGCCCTTTCGAGTTGTGGTGCTCAGTGTTTGTCAGGTTTAAGACTTATGAGATGCTTCTGAACCATACGTAGAGGGTCATATTCCCAGCCTACCCTTCTTTAGGTTGCTTTCTTGTCTTCTACATACAAGATACTCGCAAGCAGGGCATGGTGCACGGAGTGACTGTTTCGCCCGTTTCCTTGGAAGCCCATCCCCCATCATGGGTGATTCTGTTGATGATATAAAGCCTTCATTACCTTAAGGACCCAAACTATGCGAATTGTGGTATAATATTCCTTACTATGGGTAATGCAGGATTTATATCATCAACCGTCGCTTCACAGGGTTTTGGTGTTCAGGTGGAATATGACTGGCTTGGCAGAGGTTCGATGTTGAGGGTCTTGTGGCTCGTAGCTTAACACCACAAGTCGAGGTAAGAGCTGGGAATGAGAGGTAATATGGAAGCCTGAATCAATGTCAAGATTATTCCTTGCGGAATCGTGGGATTCTAGGGATTCAGGGCCAAACCAGCGAAACAAGTTGAACTTCTCAGCACAATTACTTTTACTATTACCGTTACTAATTGACACTGTCATGATTATTCTTCTCATTTTATTCTTGTTGCTATTGTTATTTACTACTACTCCTACCAACACCACCACTACTGCTGCTGCTGCTGCTACTACTACTACTACTACTACTACTACTACGACTACTACGACTACTACTACTACTACTACTACTACTACTACTACTACTACTACTACTACTAGTATTATGACTATTATTCGTATTGAAGTTTGGCAGGAGATCGATGCCACACTCCCCGACTTTTCGCTCCCCGACTTCGCCCTGCCGGAGGAGGGGCTTCGCCAGAGCCGCATCAACGCTAAGCCCACCGCAAGTCAGCACCCTGAACCTTCTCACGGAATCTCTCCCTAGATCCCTCTGATGAATCCTTTAAAGAAGCCTGCACCTGCCTCCGTAGCAAGCGAGAATGAAGCCACAAGCCCCCTCTTCACTTCTTCACTCTGCATGCTGCTCTCCCGCGAATCTTCATCTTGCCAGGACGATGCCTGAGCATTGTTTGAGCATCATGCCCGGCGCCCGGTGCGCTCAATGGTCCTTACGACGAAATGAGTTTCTAATCCGACATCCCCGACATGACACAGGACAGAAAGAGTTGATAGCTCCATGTATGTGTGCATATAAGACGTACCTAAACACCCAAGCACAAAGCATCCAAGAATCATTCTTGAGTCTGATGGGGCAGCGGTCAAAAAGAGACATCGCAACGGTGCTTCACGAGCAAGAAGGCTTGGACGTGCGTCGGCTGCGACCCTACATCGTAGTGTTCCGGCATCCTAATGTCGCAACAGGCCACGGATTGCAAATTTCGAAATCACAAATAATATATTCTACACAGGTGGGGTAAACGTGCGTGGCATGTTTCCACCTCTGCAGCATCTAAATTTGACCTGCTGGTGAACCACGTGTGTCCATCCCGCCTGATGGCTCAAGCTGTCAAAGATGCAAGGCATGTCTCGCTTGTCGCCCATGGAATTATGTTTTCAGCCCGGGAGCCCAAACACACCACAATGAAAGAAGGTACGACGTGCCTCAGATCATGTTGACGACCCTTCTCTACCACTTGCAACTATGTAACTATGAGTGCCTTCTCCTTGGCCGCGCCGACTTCAGAGGCCTGGCATCACTCTGACACCTTCTGTACTAGTGTAGGGCCACAGGGTTTAGGTCGTTCGGGTGTTTGCGTCTTAGGCTGAAAAGAGGTTGGGTTGAAGGTTATGCTCCTCTGCTGAAGCAGGCGCGACACTCAGTATCATCTTGCATCACCGATGTCAAGCTCGTCTAAAGCCCGGAGCTCCTCAAGATATATACATGGCAACTGTTCGATGTCTTACTGCCTCCGGATGCTACATACCAAAAGTCAACACTTGAAACATCAACCCTTACATGCCCAAATCCCTTGTTTTGTCCGTGCTTCTGGGCATGGAAAAAAGCATGTTCTGTCCTGAAGGCTCGTTTCGGGTTTGCGGTTTAGTAGACTAGTGCAGACTAGTGACTAGTGCCCCTTCAGTCATGCTTGCAACCCTGTTCTTAGGATGCCTATCATAAATGTTCCTTGTTAATTATAAGGAGCTTTGTTCTACAGTGTTCTTAGGATCCCTATCACAAATGTCCCTTGTTCAGGAGCTTTGATCCATAAGGCGTCTCCATGACTGCGCCATTCGCAAGGTTTTTTGTGGCTTCAGCTGGCGGCTCCGAGAGACCAGTAAACGGAAATCGCAGACCACATGCAACGCAAGGCACGGTTTGGTTTAAGGCCTCCATCTTAAAGTCCTGAATCCAAATCAAACTTCGTTGAGACCATGATGCCAAAACAATGTGGCAGTTTTCGCGGCTTGAAAGTGCGAGTGCTTAGAACTGGTTTCAGGGCTTTGGGTCTGGCATTGTTTGGGACATGTTGGCCGAAATCATGACAACAGTCCGACTAATTTCGACCCGAAGCAGTCACTCAGTATTCCGGCCTTTATATAGGAATCTCACATCCCTGCTTGGAATTCTATCCTGGACCGCGCTAAACCCCAAACCAACCTTCTAAACCCTAGCTCCTTCGCAACCTCAAACCCCTATAGCTCGTAAAACCCTAAAGACAAGACCCTAAAAACGGGACCCTAGAATCCCTTGCGCAACCTAAGCCCCACCTCCCGCTTTGCTGGTTTAGTTGAGAGATTTAGTTTAAGTTATCATAATAGGGATCTATAGTCAGTCATATGTTTCCTTTATTCTTTAATATAGGTCTTCATAATAAGCATCTAGTTATAATCATATGTTTTCTGTTTTATGGTAACTTAAACCTTAAACCCCTAGACCCTTCAAGGAACCATTATAGATCCCTTAAAGGAACCCTTATAGATCCCTATACCCTTAGCAAAACACCCGCTTGGTCATGGCGCGGCGCTGGTACCGACTGGCCGGTCTCGCCGCTGCCCTGATGGTGAGCTCAGCCGCCTTTGGAAAGGCACGGCTTTGGGAGTTTACGGTTTGTCCAAGGGTAAAAGGAGGGACCCTTAATAAGGACCCCTAGGTATATACCCTTAATATAGCTATTCTATACCCATTATATAGCCCATTCTAGGGTAGCGGTCCCCTCCTTTTCTCCTTTGGGTTTAGGGCTTTTGGGGGTTTAGGGCTTTTCAGGGTTTAGGGCTATTTAGGGTTTAGGGCTTTTGAGGGTTTAGGGCTTTTGAGGGTTTAGAGCTCTTTGGGATTGCAATAACAATTGTCACGCAAATACTTGTAGTCATAGTAATAGGAGATATACTGACAGTGATAATCATAACGATTAGGGTTCTTGGTGATTTCGGGGCTAAGGTTTTCTAGGATGTCGTCTCTTTCTTGTAGGGTGACCCCAGACTTTTACACAGTTCAGTTATCGTGCGTTATACATTTACACGGCTGCTATACGTCTTGCAAGGTTTCTAGAAGAGACTGAACCTGAAGGTATCTGTTTTTTTGTGCTGAATGAGGCTATCCCTAATAAACCCTAGCCCTTCAAACCCCAAATCCGAAACTGCATCGGCTTTAACACATAACGATACGACTATCAGGTGCCACTGGCATCGACGGCACCCTTAGCAGGAGCAAGAGGTTTGGGTGTGCACATCTACGACCACTGCCCGCTTCCCGGCCAACTCGAAGCCCCAAAGCCTGAAGGGATCAACAGTTCGTCACATGTTTCTTTCTTGCTCACGCTACAAACGCCACACTCATCACAGACCATAACCCAAAAAACCCTACAGTAATCCTTGAACCCTAAACCTTGCCAGGTAGGAGGCAAAAAAAGGCCCTAAACAATAACTCCAGCCCGCAATCCCAAAAGGCAAACATCGGATCATGCAGGCCCCTTTTGTTGCCGGTGGCTTTGGTTTTTGTGGGTCCGGGCACTAGCCTTGTGGAATGTGCTGAGATCCCAGTTGTGGGTTCAGGGATTCCAGGATTTTGGGTTTAGTAATGCTTGAGCCGGCAGCTTCAGAGAGAGTTCATGCTTGGTGCGTGCTGTAAATTTGGGTCCAGCTGAGGGCCCTTATGCTACTGTGAACTCCTGCTTTTCTTAACACCTTGTGGAACATGGCACGTGCAGAGAAACCCTGGAACATCCCGCATGAAAAAGGGTCATAGGCCGTAGGCCCCCTCAAAGTAAGTACCCTGAGAGGTCTTACAGACGAAAACCCCAAACACTTAGGGGCCTCAAAAGGTGGTTTAGGGCTTGGCATCAGGGATCCGTAATCCTATCTACCTGCATCCCACTGTGACTTTAATGCTTCCACAACCGCAAAGGTATTGCACTCGTGTGGAGCTCGTGTTGGGCTGGCATGGTTGGCAACCCAAGCGTCTGGTGCATCTTGGAAGAGAGACCTTGTTCAAAGCTTTGGGACTTAAAGTATTACTCTAAGTCGCCTAAACCGCCTAAACCTTTATTTGTGTTTGGTGCTTTCGTCGCTTCTTGGTTGAAAACACTCAATATCCGGATCCTCGAATGTATATTCGTCGGTTGAGTTCCTTCTCGTTTAAAGCGCCTGCAGCTTCAAACGGGACTGCCAATGGAAGCAGCTGCATTGCTGAGCATAGGCAGGGTTCAGAGTTGAAAGAACCTGGAAAATGTTGGTGGAAGGCCTTTACTCCGGGTCTGCGCACTTCCCTGATCACTTGACCTAAGCCGACCTAAGCTCGAATGCGATGTTGCCGTGGGATGACTAGGGTGTAAGTGTTAGGGCTGGGGTTTGAGGTTCTGGATGGATATGAGGGGGTTTATGTACGTCTAGAGTCTAGAGTGTAGAGAAAACGACAGCACAGGTACGGCTACGCTGACGTGGCTGGGCCGACAGCGCTGATCGGCAAGAAGATGCTGCCGGTGTTGACTTGGCATGACTCAGAAGGGCAGGCGGGGGCTGGGCCAACACAGTCACAATCCAAGGCATTCCATTCTTGAAGATGCCCTACATGAACCCGGAATACGGAATAACCTACCTTTTCAAGGACTTATATACAGGAAATCATAAAAAGTAGCCGTAAAGAGGTAGGTTATTCAGGGTTAACGCAAGATGGATGACCTCCAGCCTTCTGAGAACCCTTTTAGGTGTCAGCTTCCATCGAACGAGCACGAGTCTCACCCTCCAGCCTGATGCATTGAGACTCTTACCGTGTAGGTGGCAAAACCCTAACTTAGCCTGCCCTAAACCCTAAAAGCCTTAAGCCCTAGTCTGGAGCCTGTCCTTCCGCTGTTTTGGGGCCTTCCCCAACTTAGTAGCTGAGTGGATACACTTGACAATTGTTTGGATAATATTACCCAATATTGGATAATATTACCCACTATAAAACCGAAAGTGTACAGTTTTGGGGCTTATGAACTCAGCAACTAAGCCAAAAATACGATTCGAAATTGTGAGCCCTTGTGAAGCTCTAAGCTCTTCTTCTCGGTTTTAGACACCCCAGAGCTCCCAAAAGCATGGGCCTAAGCCCTACTTGGAGGTTCATGGGTAGTTATAAGGGTTCCTTTAAGGGTCCCTTTAAAGGGATCTATAAGGAATCTATAGGGGTATAGGGTGTAGGGTCTGCTTGGAGGTTCATTGGTAGCCATTATGGACTTAGCACTCCACGTATAGCTACCCATCAACCTCCAACTAGAACCCCCGGCCCAACGACTCCTGGTAGTAGTAGGGGTGGGGGAAGCCACGAGTGACTGAGGGTTGTTTGTCAAAGCTCTTTGTGCAAGCCCGATCGGGCAGGGTCTGCGAGAGAAAGTCTCACCGCGTTAAAGACAACCATTGCCAGGAGCAAAAGATGTGCGAGTCGAAGGATATCATCGAAGCAGTGGAGGTTACGGCAGAGTCTACAACAGGCACCATCGGGGTGGTTGCAACAATGCTGCTTGCAGGATTTTATAGGGTCTGGGCTTATAGGTAAACTGGCTATGGCTCAAACCAGTTTGGCTCAAGTTCCCAGGCCCCAAGCCGTCTTCACAAGAAACAGGCAATGCGGCCAAGCGTGCTGACCATTCGGGCGGCCATGTCCGGGGAAGTACTCGATGCTCTGGACTCGGACGCCTTCGCACGCTTTCACGAGACGCTTCCTGAAGGGATGTCTGCAGCTCGTGGATTGAAGCAACGCTTGCAAAGCACGTGCGGGCTGTCGGGGTTCAGGCAAAACTGGTATATTCGTGTGATAATGCGATTCTAGACGACGGTCGCACGCGAAATTCAGGTCGTTCTTCTACCCTTCTGTCCGACATCTATCGCACAAAAAACAGCGCTTCAGCAGGCTGCTAGCAGCGGCCAGACCCGACAAGTGGAGAAGCTTCTCCACAGGCCGCAAGACCCAGACTCAGCAAACGTCGAGCATCCGAGCCCATTGTATGTGGCAGCTTCGAGTGGGCAATTGGATGTGACACGTCTTTTGCTGGAGGCCAATGCGGACAAGGACAAGGCCACGAAAGACGGTGCCACCCCCTTGTACATCGCAGCTCAAAGTGGAAAGTTGGAGGTTGTCCGCTTGTTGCTGGAGGCAAATGCAGACAAGGATATGGCCAAGCAGAACGGCGCCACCCCTTTGTTCGTCGCGGCTCAGAAGGGACAGTCGGAGGTTGTACGGCTCTTGCTGGAGACCAATGCGGACAAGCACAAGGCCAAGGAAGATGGTGTCACGCCCTTGTACATCGCAGCTCAAAGTGGAAAGTTGGAGGTTGTCCGCTTATTGCTGGAGGCAAATGCAGACAAGGATATGGCCAAGCACAACGGCGCCACCCCCTTGTTCATCGCAGCTCAAAGTGGACAGTCGGAGGTTGTACGGCTCTTGCTGGAGGCCAAGTCGGACATCGAGAAGGCCCAACAGAGTGGCGCCAAGCTTTCCTTGATGGCAGACCAGATTGTTCTTGGATCTTCTAGTCAGTCCAAACGGAAAAGAAAATCATAATCTAGAGTCCTAAACAAATAGCAATACTACTCTAGGGCTCCTTATTGTAATTAGAGCATAATAATTGTAGGGATCCTCATTATAATTAATTATAGTAGAATGGGCCCTCAAACTTAATCTAGAGGCTTAATCAATACCAATACTATTCTCGGGATCCTTCATACACAATTATAGTATAATGGGCCCTCGAATTATTAACGCGTCCTTTGTTGCCAGGTGGCAGGAGTCGGGGGGGCCTCCAGGCTCCTGGCATATGCTTCGCCCGGGTGTAAAAAGGTGTAGACTTCGTGCGTGGACTGCGCCCACGGTTTGGGGTTTTAGGGTTTAGGGCCGGGGAAATGAGAAATGAGAGAGAGAGAGAGAGAGAGAGAGAGGGAGAGAGAGAGGGAGGGTTTAGAGCCACTCAAAGCCACAGAAGGGCTACAGCCCCGGTTGGGCAATGAGGGTTTAGGGTCGCAGGGTTTATGATGACTGACTGTGGCTAGGGTTGTGTCAGAAACGCCCCGAACCCATCATTGAGTACTGTGCCTTTACCGGGTGTGGTTTGTCATTCGATCACCTTCTCTTCGGAAGTGTCACTTTGTACTTTTATGTGCATCATGTAGTTGGGAGCAGCCTGTGCCCATGAGCCGTATTCCCCCTGATTGTTGCAGCAAGCTGCTTTTCGATTATCCGCAAATCTCTTGCAGTCCCTTCTTTCAACCCCTTTCAGAACCCTATAAGAACCCCCCTTATGCAATCCTGTAAACCCCCATACAACCCTACATATCGACATCCTATCTTACAGCACCCTATACATTCCTCCAATCCCCCCAAATCCTAAACACTACAAGCCTTAAAAACCCTAAAAGCCCTACCTTAACTCGGAATAGCTTAGCGTTTTTAGGACTTATATAAGGAAATCATAGTAAGGAACCCTAATACCGTAGGTTATTCAGGGTTAAAGTAAACCCGATCCCCTCCTCCTCCTCCCCTCCCCTCCCCCTCGAAGGAGGTCGGCTGATCATGCGCCGGACTGGCCGGAAGGACCTCAAAGCCTGGCAAACAAGGCCAGAGTACATGCCTAGTAGTAGAGTAGGTATCCTTTAACAATTTTGCAGAGTATAGTCTCTATATAATCCCTACATAACCAAAAAGGTTAACCTCGAATTTAGTTTCCCATGATGCCCGACAAGTAGGTTGTTAGTGGAAGCGACCGTTGTAATGTATGATGATTAATTCATGTTACTGTTATTTCACTGTTACCATGGATTCTTTAGTGTTGCCATTCTTACTCTGACTCTTAGTATAAGCAAACATTTCTTTCTCTTGTACTGCTAACATGTTTTTTGCTAGTGGTGTTCGGAGGTTTGCTTCTTTGTTAGCACTTCATACATGGTGACATAGTAATAGTGCGTGATGACGTAGTGTCGTCGTGACGCTTTAGTAACCACTCCCCCTTTTATTAAACACCCCCCCTTTATAGTTCAATGGGAAAATACATTGGGGCGAATCCTCCCGAAATCACCCCTGCATGTCAAAACCTAATTTGCATTAGACCAGTCCCAGTACTTGCGGAGACCGAGACCTCGTCAGGCATGTTAGGGGTCCGAGAGCAAAAAGCATGAGCAAGAGCAAAGCCGAGAGCAAGAGCTGGAGTAAGAGCAAAAGCAAAAGCAGGGGCAAGAGCAAGGGGCGCAGCAGAGCAGGAGCAAAAGCCTGCGCAAGGCAAGAGCCCTCAAAAGTGACAGTAGAGATAAAAAATACACCCTAATCTAATAATATTAATAATAATAATAGTAGTAATAATAGTAAAGACACTTTGCGAGTTTCTTTTTTGGGGGGAGCCACCGTCTCATAGTAGGGGGAAAGGATTAGTATAACGTAGCATAGCCAGTACGGAGTCTGAGGTTTCAAGGATGTTCTAGGGCTTATTATAGAGGTTTCAACAGCTGGTAACTTAGTAAATTAGTACAAGTGTCTCATGTATTTTCGAATGTATGCCACAAGCCCTCTTGACATGATTCACGCTTTGAAAACGACCAGGACCTAGAGTAGGCCCTTATTCCCTTTTTTTAGGGTTCAGGTTCCCTTATAAGCCCCTGTAAACCAAAAAGGGCACCCTTTGTATACCGAGGTTACTCTTGGGTCTAGCTGTTATAAGACTTAAGAAGGGGATTAGTAAGCATATTTTTGTTCTTCTGGTTCTAAAGAGAACTCAAGGTTGACAGTTGACAGCCTTAATGAACCCTTAGAAGATGTTTTTCAGCATTGTTTACACAGTTTGAATGGGGCCTCATCTTTCAAGGCCCCACCTCGCCGGACCCTTCTGGTTCTGGTTTCCCGGAGGCTCCATACATGCTACCACAACGGAATTCTTCTAGTTCTTAGGCTCCATACATACGACCATAATATGGAATTATGTCCGAAAAGACCATCCTTACTTATGGTTTAAGGGACCTACTTCCATAATGGTAGTATAAGTATATATAGAGCCTCTAGGTTTGTTCCGGAAACCCTTCAAGACAAGCCTTTCGGCATATTTGGGCCTTCCGGTTGCGTCTTTTAGAGTTCGGGTAGATTCAAAGCTTCCGGAGGCTGGATCGGTTCAAGCATCTTCTGTATTTTCAATCCTTGACTGACAAGGCTGCTCCAGAAAGAACGAAACACTGGGCTGCTCGATTAAGGCAGTGCGTAAATACACATTGGTTTAATTTGGGAGTTTGCGAAAATTTGGGGTACCTATTAGTATGGGATCCTTATAATCAGGATCCTACTATTAAGGGTACTATATTATTTTATTAGGGTCCCCCATTTTCGGAAACTGCCACATGTGGGCTTGGCTTAGGGGGGGTTCAGCTGCAAGAGGGGCCCTGAACGAGGTTGCGGCGAGTGATGCATGGACTGACGAGACCCCGACTCCTTCAGATGCCTATCAAGGACTTCGCTAGAGAGGACAGGGCTTCGGCTTGGAACGGTTGATGATATAAATCCTGCATTACCTATAATAAGGAATATATGGGAATTATGGTATATTCCTTCATATGGGTCATGCAGGATTTATATCATCAACCGAAGCAGTTGAGGGCTTGAGTCTATTGGTATCATGCTGATAGGGTACGTTCGTTAGGTAGTTATGAGTAGGACTGTAAGTTTTTGGACTGAGGTCAAAACTACGTACTTGTATACGTACTCCAACCCTAAACCCTAACCCCGTCATTGACCATGAACCCTGAACCCTTCAACCCCAGTAAAAGCGCTGACTTCGTGAGGAGGACAGGAAGTACCAGATGGACAAGTACACGGCGAAAGGCTTCAGCTATGAAAGAGCACTGGCCGATACAGAGAAGCTGGTACCAAAAGTGAATACACTCTTGCTCGAGTTTGAGGAGCTTCTACGATCAGACAAAGCGCTGAATGCTTTCGGCCATTCCTGGGACGACCTCTACGTGCTCCCCTCCCTGCGCGTACTGACTTGCGTGAAAGCTCTTGCTTGGCCTGCGAAGGTCCGAGCTTATGTGGAGAAGAACCATGCCGACGCCGGCCTGGCATGTTACTTCGAGCATGCATGCTGAGATGCTGCGAAAAAGCTTTAGGCTCCCCTTCGTCTCCGACTTCACACCTGGATCTTCAAGCACTGCCTGCGAATCATAGCAGACTGCGCTCAAGCCTCCTGCATGTTGCCACTCCCACTGCTGAGACGAGTGTCACGAGTCACGGCTTTCGGGTCTGGGTTTTTGTAGGACCGCTACGGACATTGTGTTCATACTTCTAGATTTGTCGGGCTTTTGCGACGAACTCTCAAGCCGTTGCCTCAAGAGTGTGGACACTCCGGAAGAGCCATGTCTTTCACTTCCACACAGCACCTCCATGTGTGCTTTGCCTCAGGCTTTGGCCGCTTCTTGAGACGGCTCCTCGAACACCGCGAGATTCCAGGCAGGAGCTCCGGTGAGTGCGTTACCGGCACCGTTTTGGATGCACATCTCCCTGTCTTGCATCTGAACCTGAAGTGCTGGCACCTGTCTGTGGCAGTTTCTGATGCCCAATTATGCAGCATGCTTGAATCCGAGCTTGTATTTAAAGCCGACTGCCGTGTTAAGTTCAAGCCTCAGTGAGACCGTTTGTGGGTTGGGCTCCTTGTGGCAGCGGACGAGGATGGATGTCTGGGATTCGCAGAGAGTTGCCGGGTGGGTGGCGGCTTTCTTGAGGATCACCGAGTGTTCCGAGGAGGAGTGCCGAGATGCTAGGCAAATCCTTTTGGAGGAGCGGGTTGATGGAAAAACCCTGACTCTTCTCAGCGCTCAGGAGCTGCGAGATCTGCTGCACTTGGCATATGGGCCTGCCAAGAGGCTCGAAACGGAGATTCGAAGGAAGGTTGCTCTTGAGCAGGCTTCCGATGACTCCGACAGTGATTGGGAGCGGGTGGACGCTGCCGGAAACACGCACTGGGGTGCCAGAATAGGAAGGACTGCGCTGTTTGCATGCATCGCCTGTGGAGCTTATGCCGCTTGTGCTGCTTGTGCGGCCTGGCACCGACATGCTCAGTTGGAGCTGGAGCAGCAGCTGCAGGAATGTGCATCATTGTCCGACGTCATGCTTCAAAACGGCAGCTATGTTGCAGAGAAAGCTCTCTCCGTCATACCATTCAAGAGCTGCGGAATGCCTTCATCGGCTGTCCATGCCAATGCCAGCCTCGTTTCGTCTTGGCTGGGATATTCCCAGATCCCGGTATGCACGACGTCAGTGCAGCCTCTCACCAGTGCTTGCTGGGATGCTTTTGCAGGGTCACTAGAGTCCTGCAATTCCAATGCTGACATCGATTGCGCGCTGCCTCTGATACATGGCATGGACAAGATTACGGACCAGATCGGTGATGTCCTTGGCAATGTCCCGCAGTGGGCACAGATGGTGTCAAGCATCCGAGGAATTAGCGAGGCTAGCCTACATCGTGTTGAGGATACATTGACCTGGAAGATCGGCTCCTGGAGCCTTCAGGACATCCTTGCTCATCAAAGGCACTTGTCTGTCCTGGCGGGCATCATCCCGAAATTCATGCCAGAGAAGAGTTTGCAAGACACGGTGGCAGCACTGACAGCAAAGATTGCAGACATGCTCGACATTCCTGCTTCCTTTGATAGGCTGCTGAATGCTGCCACAAACCCTGAAGGATCACAAGAGCTGGACTTCAGGCATGCTAGCCTCATGTTGAAGCAGGCCCATTTACACTCGAAGAGTCCAGAGATACTTGAGCTTCGTCAGAACTGGACCCAGCACGTGTGCGACCGACTGGGCAAGTGGTATTCTGAGGCACAGAAGAACGTCACATCATCGCTTATGTTCCTCGGGATCTCCGAACAGTTCAGGGAGAATTTAGACAGCATCCCATGTCTCGGCGATGAAACTGCAGCTGCTGCTTCGCAGTTGCAGTGTTCGTTGATGTCACGAGCTGGCTTGCAGAAGCTGGCTGCTGTGTTTACACGGCAATCAGGCTGGTTTGGGGATTCATGGCCCGCAGAGAAGCGACTCGGAAGCTGATAGATTGGTCTGGTCCCGGTCCTATCATACAGTTGCGCAGTCTGTCCTCAAAGTGTGTGCACAAAAGGTACCATGCACTTCTTCACCGCGTTCGCCTTTACATCGAGCATCGGGTTGAGAGCTTTCACTCGAAGTATGGCGATGATCCTGGTACCGCTTATGAACACCTGCAGGCTGGGACGAGCTTGTTTTTGCTACTTAGGTGTTGCATGATGCAGTCTCTTCTTCCTTTTAGCAGGCCGCTGTTGGGCCTTAGGCCCTCCCTCCCATCAGATGAACCCGCATCCCAGTCTTTCGGGAAGTCGACATTGCTGCGAGGGCTACTTTGGTCAAAGATGTTGCATGTCGGGTCAGAGAGGGACATGGGAGCAACTTGCATTAACAGGACGGGCAATCGTAGCTAAATGAAGGCTCGTAAATGCCCAGACAGTTCTCGTGCACAACAGCAGTCCTTAGTGGTTCAGTGATTGGCTTCGTTGAAAATGTTCAATCCCTAAACCACTAAACCCTAAACCTCCTAAACCACTATAACCCTAAACCACTAAACCTTAAACCCTGAACCACTCGACCCTTCCTTGCTTCAGGCTGCCGATCTGGTATCTGAGGCACTCCGAGGGCATCTTCCCAGCGATCTTCAGCAGAAGCTGATCGAATCACATGAGAGGGTTTAGGGTTTAGGGTTTAGGGAGTTTCAGATCATTCACCAGCTTATCCAACATGTGCAAACGAACAATGCTGCTGGCATACAGCAGGCCATGCCGCTGTTTGTGGACCACATGCGACGAGTATGGTATGATGCGCAAGTCCATGAGCCACAGTTACTTCAGGCTGCAAGCTTAGGGAGATCATTGGGGAGCGTGCAAAGGCATACAAAGAAGAGTTTCGGGGCCTGCTTTCACGGCCGCAGGTGGATACGCTCTTGAGCTCTGCAAACAAACTTCTGACAGCCTTGCTGCCGAGCCTGGCAGTTGCTGCCAGTGATTCAGACGAGTGTGGAGAGCCTTGTTCGCCTTTGCGAGAGATCTTGCGGCTGGTGCAAGAAGCTTTTGAGGTCCCAGATGAGCTTCTGCCCGTGTTAGAGGCCTCAGCACGGCTGGAGACGACTACGGAGCAGTCGAGCGACAGCCCAGATGCTGGGCATTCAGACACGATCGGCTTCAGCTGCCGGTTGGTGGACTCCTTCCCAGAGAAGAAGCAGCAGGTGGAGATCCGCTATAAGCGCAGACAACTTGGATCAGAGTTCCCTCAGAGTCGGTGCCAGCATCTCTCAGACTGCGAGACCTCAGGTCGCGTGAACCTCCTTTCCGTCTACGCGCTGAAGGTGTTCGACGCGTTGCTCTCCGTCGTTCAAGCTTCTCTGGAGAACGGTAGATATGCAGAGGTCGCCACAAGTCTGCATGACATGCCAGGCTGGTCCGGCCTCGAACCCTTCGTGGGCTCAAAGGTTCCGGTTGAAGAATTGCAAGAGAAGATTCACCTAGCCATCTCTCGGCATGCCAATACTATCTCCGCGACAGGCTCTCACGAGCTTGAAAAGCAATGGTACAGATCAGTGGAAGACAACCTCAACAAACTCGACGAATTCCAGAGGTGCGTGAGCAGAGTGAGCTCCGCACTTGGTCGTCAGATTCAGGAGGAAAGAGACCATCTAAGAAGTAAAATCAAGAAAGATGTGGATGAGATGGCAACATCAGCTTCTCAAAGAGCCAGATCTGTGCAGACGCAAACGGTGCCCATGTTTGCAAGTGACATCACCACTTTGGCCCTGATTTGGTTCGAGATCCCGTCTCTCGAAAAGCACACATCCCAGAGGTTGCAGAATGTGCTCTCGGATGTAAGTGCTAGACAAGATGGAGCGTCGTTCCTGTTTGACCTTGGGCGGCACTTGCAGGAAGGTGTTGCCGAGGAGGGGGATGCATCCGATGGCACAATGAGTCGACCGACTGCGGCACGAAGGCTTGTGAGTGAACTAAAGCAATATTTCCGCGCTGTGGACAACCTTCAGTACAACCGCGCAACGCAAAAGATGCAGAAAGCGCCAGATGCTTGTGTCAGCGAGTTGCGCTCGAAGAGCATAGAGAGCGACCAAGAGATGCCAGTGGATTCGCAGGACCTTGCCGATGGCTTGAGGACTTTCCTGGCCCACTATGGCCGGATGTATGATGAGTTGAAACGAGACGAATTGGACATCTCAAAGGTTCTTGCAAAGAGCCGGGCAAGGGTGAGTGAGCTCCTCCAACAGCACAGTGTCGGTTGGCATGTCGATCCGAAGGTAGTCAAGCAGGACATTCCGGAACTGTTGGCTTACGTTTTCATGCATTACACTATGACCTCAACCAATGATGCATATCTCCGGCTCGTAGCGGGTGCTATCGCAGAGGGCAAGGACCAGGACTTGGAAGCTGGGATTCGAACCCCACATAACATACAGGTTCTGGCAGTCCTCCGCTTCTTTGGCTTTGGTGACAAAGATGCGGGTCCCATGCTTGCGAACCAGCTTGTTCAAGTGGAGACTGGTGGAGGAAAATCGTTGATTTTGGGCTCGGCGGCCACGGTTTTTGCCCTTCTCGGATTTCGTGTCCGTGTAGTTTGCTACTCGAACGATCTCAGCAAGAGGGACGAGAGTGAGTTCAGGCAGACCTTTACCGATTTCGGGGTTCTTCAACTCATCAAGTACAGCAGAATCACCACCTACAGTGAAGATCTCGTAGCAACTCTCGGCGACACCAGGTCACTGACACGACAGCTTCTGCAAGGTGATGCGCCTGTTGCCCCTGCCCCGAAACATCACGATTTGCCGGAAGTTCTCCTGTTCGATGAGGTGGATGTATTCATGAGCCCCTCATACCTTGGGAAGACACATGATCTTATGGCAAGATGGCACCACAAGCATCTGCAGGACATCTTAAGGGAGCTATGGGCCCGCCGCAGTGAGGTAACGTCCCTCAATGATGCGAGCCTGCTTTGTGATGACCTCCGGTCCAGCCGGGAATACCTTGGCCTTGTCCGTTCCTTCAAAGACGCTGCGTACGTGATTGACACGCAGGTGGCCTCGATGTGCACGAGCCTTTATGAATACATGCAGAAAGTGCCTCCGATTCCTTACTTCGATGACGCCCAGCAATGCGTGGGCTACAAGGTCCATGATGCAATTGATTGCGCAGCAGTTGATGGTTACAAAACTGCATTTGCTTTGTTGGCGAACCACAATCGATTGACAAATGCCTCCCAGAAGCTTGATGAGAACCTGGCAATGCTTGTGCCGTGTGGCCAGTTCTCTTATGCGAACATAAACCCCAGCTACATCTTTGGAGTGTCAGGAACGGTCGCACAGCTTGATATGTACCAGCGTGCAGAAGTCGTTAGATATGGAATTCTTGCTTACACAACGGTTCCGTCCGTCTTTGGCAAGTCTGACTTTCGATTTTTGGAACAAGACGATGCAATCAAGGTTTTCGCAGCTACCGATTACTTTCAGGCCATCGCGGTGGCCATCAAGCAGGTGATCCTGAAGAAGCGTGCCATCATTGTTTTCTTCGAGAGCGCGCCGATCTTGAGAAATTTCATGGCATCCTCGTTTGGATCTGCGCTGCCTACGTCCCCGCAACTACTAGTAGAGGACCTGGTACATGATGAAAAGCTTCGTCGAACCAAGAAAGCAGCCGTTACAGGCCAGATAACTCTTGCAACATCTGTGTTCGGTCGCGGTAGTGATTTCACTTCCTATGACAGCAGATTGCAGGAGAATGGGGGGTTCACGTCCTGTACACCTTTGTCCCACGCACGGCAAGCGAGGAGTGGCAGGGTCAGGGGAGGACTGCCAGGCAAGGGCAAAAAGGTTCCTTTGGTCTCCTTCTCAATGCCGATGACCTGATGGAACGCTTGGGCCTTCCAAGTACCATTCTGCAAGATGGACAGGGTGAGGGATACAAGCGAATCCAAGCAGCACGTGTGAAGAATCAGGAGGCCGAGTCCGCTTCAATTGCGAGAGCGTTGCAGAATGCACAAGCTCACGACAGCATCTCACACGCTTTTGTTGCAGCGCTTCATTCCCGCCATCATGCCACGGCTTTAGCGGCTTACGCGTCATTCTATGACCGGTACGTGCAGGAGACAAGCTTCTTCCCCATAGTGGCATCGCACCATTACATCATTTGCTTGGACAGTTCTGTTACAATGGAGGAGAAGATCCAGGCCGCATCTGAGGCAGTGGTGAAGTTCGTCGAGGAGGCCGCGGGCATGCCGAATGGAGCTCGTTCCGTGGTATCTTTAGTTATGTTTGATCACAACGCGAACACAACCCTCCGAGAATCCCCAGTCATCCGCGGTGACGTCGAAAGTGCAATCCAATATTCGGCTGGTGGAACAAACTTTACCGAGCCGCTAGTTGCAGCATTGCGGCTGGTAAAGGAGACCAAGGATAAGTACCACAAGCACTTCATCCTCTTGTACACTGATGGGGAGGAGGAGTTTCCGGGTGAGGCTGCTCAAGCGATGCAAAGCTTCAGGGCCCAATATTCCAAGAAGTTAGAGTTCTTCGCGATTTCCGAAGACTCCTACACAACTATGCGCCAGGTATGCTCTACGCTCTATGAGCAAGCAGAGGCCGGGAGCTGGTCTGAATTGGGGTCTTCTCGTCTAGCTTGCATATTGTCCAGAGTAGTTAAAACTCACGGGCCCCACAATCCATAACATCCAACCTCTAGATGTGCGTTTAGAGTCGACACCCACCCTGTTACACCCTAAATCCACCCCCCCCCCCAATCCTTTTTAGAAGACCCAGGTTGGAGACCACTGCTTCGAGAATATTCAGCCACAGCAGATTGCCAGAGCCACTCCGTGATCGAGTTTGAAGACTTTCGCCTTTCAGTCTGGGGCATGGCTTATGGTTTAGGGTTTAGGGAGAGACCTCTTTGAACAAAAAGGGTTTAAGGTTTGGGGCTTTAAGGCTTTGCCTGTAGCTTGCGGCCTAGGATTGCATTTAATCTTTTTGGAAACACTGAAATTTCGAGTGTTTGTGGCCTCTGAACTGGACCAGTAAGGCAATGTCTGCCACGCTACGCCGCATGAACGTGGCCTATGTGAAGCAGTGAGTGAATTTGTAGTTTGAAGCCTGAAGGCAGAACAAACCGGCGTGGGCTGGTAGCCCCACGCTCCACATGCTCGTGCAGGAAAATCTGAGCCTGCACTTTGCCACGGAATGTGACGATTGGTCCCCGAAGGGTCCTATAAGTAGCTTTATGGTAGAATGTAGGGTTCCTATATTAGGAATTAATATTAAGATTTGGGGAAGTATCCCCCATAGTAGTACTTTGGACCCTTTGGGTTCTTGCATGCCAATCTAGCAGCCCCTGCTTTCGAAGCACCAGAACTCACTTCGATCTTGCGAGGCCCCGACGTGGCCATCAACGGCACTTCTGCAGAAAGCTCACCACGAGCTGAAAACCGGGCGGGGGGGGTTTAGGGTTTAGGGTTTAGGGGGCGGGCGTCGAGCCGTCAGGAAGCTGCAGCCATCCTTTCGGTTCGGGCGGTAGGTTCAGGCTGAGCCTAGGAGGTTCGGCTGTAAGACTTGCAGGTTTCCTTGCAAAGCTTGTAATAATCACAATACAGCAATGATAATAATAATAATAGTAACAATAATATTAATATTAGTACTAATAATAATAACAATAGATATAGATGCACATCACCTCTCACTTGGCAAAGCATATGTGTTGTCTTGTTGGCATTGCAATGTGTGATGAGCGGCGAACAACTCGGAACTTGTTGCTTGTTGCTGCAGTCCAGGTTTTACGACTTTACGATTCGGAGCTTGTGTTTTAACGTCTATCATAGGCCTGGAGCAATACCCTAGGGATCCAAATAGCCCGAAAGCCTTAATATAGTATGGTCTTTGGGCTCGAAAGCCTTGACATATGAGTCCTTAGATTCTGCCTTAGATCCCTCAACCCTATAGATCCCAAAAAGGACCCCTTATAGATCCCTTTAAAGGAACCCTACACGAGTCCTTAAATCCCTAGGGATAGAACGTCCGTCAAGGTTTCAAGAAGAATCCATGAGTCGGCGCCAGATCACACTTTTTTGGTGTAGTCTAGTCCGCATATAGCCCCTGTATAATCAAAAAAGTTAACCTTTAACCCCCCATGATACCCGACAAGAGGAAAAAGAAGGTTGGCAACGTGGCATGAGGCCCTCGTAACAGTGGAAGAGGCCCAACTCCCAAAGCCCAAGCTCCGTAACTCTCTCAGCTGGGAAGTCCGAGCACGAGAGCGTAAACCTGAACCCCACATCCATCCCGAGCACGTGAAAACTTAAACCCCAAATCTTGCATACCTAGAGGCTCAATAGTAGTCCCTTTTGGGGATTCATATTTCGAATCCTATAAGGTAATCCTAAAACAGGAACTACTATGGAGCCTATGGGTACCCTGAACTTGACAAAAACCAGCGAAGCCGTCTCTCGACATCTTTGGCTTCAGCTTTCTTTGTCAGACGGTCTCCATGCCAAGGAGGGCTGAACTGAGCTAGGCATACGGGCAAAAGTCGAGAGTCGAGAGTGCATGCACCAGACGCGCTCATTCCCAAACCCCCCAGCCCTAAACACAAAGCATAGCAGGCAACATCTGCTAACCTTTTGGGGTTTAGGGTTTTGGGTTTAGGGTTTAGGGTTCAGGAATTTTGTCGCTTCGTACATTCTCACCATACCGAAGAAGGGAACTCAGCTACTAGGACGGGGTCAGGGTCAGACGTATCGAAGCTCCCAGTCCCGACCTGAAGCCACAATACTCGTGTGTACAGAGAGTAGCCTTAGGGGTACTTAGAATTAGAATTATTTTTTTAATTTTTGGTTATTATAATCCACAAGAAGCAGCTAAAATAGTAATTTTTGCCAGGGTTCTAAGTTCAGTACAGTATAGATGTTTAGCGCGTAGAGCGTCTAGAGTGCAGAAATTGTTTCAAGATCTATATGCCTTAAATACAATGCCTCGACAGGGCTGGAAGCCCTGCCTCCAACTGCATCCGAAAAGTTGGTAAGTAAGCTTTGCCCCAAACTCGGTAGCAACTGCAACTGGCGATGAGTTGCCCATGTGGAAGTGCGGAACCAGATGCAGCTTGCCGGAATGTTAATATAGGGGCCTTAATAATTGGAATAGGGTTTTGGGGCGCATTATACTATAATCTTAAAAATTATAGTAAGGAACTCCAAAATTAGTATAGGTAATTATCTTATAAGGCCACTATTTTTATTAATCAGTTTTCATAAGGAACTCCAAAAACAGTATAGGTATTTATGTTGTAAGACCGCTACATGATTCAGAGACGTCTTTCGGAAGTCTGCCGCTGGCAGCCTGATAACGCAAGGGCCCATGTACACAAATGGGAGCTTCCGAAAACCAGGGGTCCCTCATTTTGGGGTCCTTATTATAAGGATCCTACCATTTAGGGTGCTATTTCAGGGTCCCCGATTGTCGGTTACTCCCAAATAGTTTATACTTTGGCTCCAAAGTAGCTGTACAGGGACTAGTTCCAGGCCTGTGTATGCACTTATACACTATTTGGGCACATGGACGCTTAGAGTCATACATTTAATTAGGCGTTTTGCCGCACTTGCATGTTGTAATCATGCTCTTGGCTCTTCAACTGCTTCAACGTCATAGCCTCAATTCCAGTGCAGCGAGCACTTCTGCTGTCCAGTCCGAAGCTTCTCCTCGACCCCCTTGCAAGAAGCAGCTGCCCGTTCAAAGCTGTCCCGTGACGGTTCAAGCGATAATTTTGGGTTCAGGGTTTTAGATTGCCGGGCTTAGAGTCGCAAGAGGCCTGGAGGCAAACGGGTTTAGAGTGTAGAGACGCACCGCTGTTGCCCAGGAGCTGGGACGTGGCACCGACTGTGCACTCGTGCAGTCACCGGACTCAGAGTGCTGGAACTTCGATTTCTGAGGTTTAATGGAGCCATATTGCAGTATACGTACAATATACTGTGTTATATTGTATTATAACGTGTGTTATATTAGATTGTAGTAGCTTCTGGGCTTATCACTGCCGGTCCTTTCGGCATTTGCAATGCTGAGCTTTGGATCTGAGGCTGCATCTGAATGCAATTTCTGCTCCCGGCATTTCTGTAAACTCTGGGTTCAGGGGTTTTGGGCTGAGGGTGGCCATCACATCATATGTCAGACAACTCAGCAATTTAAAACGACCACGACAGAGACGACGACGGCAACTAGTACTGCTGCTTGCTGCTGCTTCTTCCGCTGCTACTACTGCGACCACCACTACCGCTACGACTACGACCAGGACCAGGACTACTTGACTACTTCTACGACTACTCGTACTACTAAACTAGGACGACTACGAGTACTTCTACCACTACTTCTAGTTACTAGTTCTATTACTTCTTTTCTATTCTGCTATGGCTGGTGCAGGACAGGCACTGCTACTGGTCTATTGCTTCCTACTACTCACTCCTGCTCTTGCTGCGACGACGACGATTACTTCTACTATAGCTAGCACGACTACACTACCGACCATGCGGCCCCTGCGGCACTTCCACACCACAAACCACTAAGATGCCACCTTCCCTGCAGCCCAAGGCACCACAAGCAGCGTAACCGAGGTCGCCGCTCGGCATGCAATGCCACCCGGGTGCTGTGTTTTGCTAGGGCGCCCCAGAAATGCTTTGTGGAGGCGTTCTGGCGTTAAGTAAACGGGGGTGTCGTGCGTCACTGAGCGTGGGGGTGGGGCATGGAAAGAAGGGTATACCACGCCTCAGCCCAACCCCCTTGTACTTGCTTGGCTGACAAGTAACCCTAAACCCTACTGATAACCTCGCCTGGCTTGTGCGAGCGTGAGTGCCGAAACCCCACTGTGAAGGCAT